ATAAATAACTATATAATGAAATATGAAAGTGGGCTAAAGATACTTGCTTTCTAAGGTTTGAGTTATTTTTTCTTAATTTGTGCTCCATGTAACAACTGAATAATCTAATGTTTGTATTTTATGTGATGTGAAAATGGGAAGAAAAGTCAGAATCAAAGAAGTAGATGATGATTCTTCTGAATGTTTTTTCTCTGAGGTTTTGGCTGTCCACTTTCATTTTTAATTCAGGCTTCTTCTTTAACTTTTCACATGTATAGAGGCATTTAGAGGAAGATAAGTTTTGTTTTCCGTTCCTTCTCTTGGATTATATTGAGGGAAGAGGGCTTAAATGAAAAAGCCAACCACATTAATTTAAAATGTTCATCATGGAGCTAGTAGTTAAACACAGAGTTTATGGTTCTTGGAGGCCCAACTTTCTTTCTTTCTTTTTTTTAATGAATAGAGATGTAGCCAGAAAGCTAGAAAGGTATTGTGACAAACAGCTCTCTGGGAAAACCTGGCCAGTGCCTTTGCTATGGAAATGTAGTGGCACATATTAAAGTATTAACACAAACAGCCTCTTTATTTGTACTGTGTTTTAGAAATCATTCCCAAGAAGAAAAAGAGTTAAGATGTTTTTCATCATATAGTTGATTACTGACATAAAGAGAATGATATGAATCTTGAACATAAAATTTACTAATCTAGATTATTGACCTACAAAATATTAGGTTGAATGTTAACTAATTTAATTTGTAGTGGTGCTTTTTAAATGGCATTCACCATTTAAGACATCTCTAGTATTATTCTAAATTATCAAGAGGATTTATAACCTAGCTTTTAATTTTATTCCTAATATGCCTTTTATGCTGCTTGGTTTTGTTTGAGTATCCAATGGATTCCGGTTTTATGGGGCGTGAAGCTTATATAGTTTGGAGGGAACAGCTCTTCAAGGACAAAAACCTTCTATGGGTATGGGTGTAAATTTTACAAAAGTATATAATAATGTGAATGGGTTTCTATGACCCTTTCAGGACAGAATGAAGATAAACTAAGCTTCATCTTCTGCTACTATCACAAACTGAGAAGATACTTCATATTTCTTTTATGTTGAAGGGTAGTACACTATATTTGGAAAGAACATAGGCTTATGTTACAACTGGGATTCAAACATGGTCCTTTTCCATCTTCTTTGCAGCTGTTAGAGTCTTAGGTACATCTTTTTCCTAGGCAACAACAGTTTTCAAAATGTTATTCACATTTCCATCTTTTTTTTTTTTTTACACACTCCTTTCCTATAGCCTGTTCTCCATAGTGCAGCCAAAGAACCCTTTTAAAAAACATTTCAGTGATATATTCAGGGTATAGAATAAAATTCAGATTTTTTTTTTTTACTATTTTCGGTGTTCTTCATTTATTCCTAAAGATCTAAGTTTTTCTCTGCTGTCATTTTCTTGAGCCTGAAATAATTTTTTTTTAGCACTTCTTATGGTTCAGGTCTATTGGTGAAAACTTCTCTTAGTTTTCCTTTATTTGAAAATATAGTTTTGCCTTTATTCTTTATTCTTGCAGGGTGTTTTCACTGGATATAGACTGCTGGGTGGCAGTTTTTGCTTTCAGCATTTTGAAAATGTTCCACTGCCTTCTGGTCTTCATACTTCCTAATGAAAGCTTTTTTTTTTTTTTCCGTTTTGGAGACAGAGTCTCACTCTGTCACCTACACTGGAGTGTGGTTGTGCAATCTTGGCTCACTACAAACTCTGCCTCCTGTGTTCAAGCGATTCTCCTGCCTCAGCTTCCTGGGTAGCTGTGATTACAGGTGTGTGCCACCATGCCTGGCTAATTTTTGTATTATTAATAGAGAACGTGTTTCACCATGTTGGCCAAACTGGCCTTGAACTGCTGACCTCAGGTGATCTGCCTGCCTTGGCTTCCCAAAGTTCTGGGATTACAGGGATGAGCCACTGCGCCTGGCCCCTGATGAAAGTTTATCATCATTCCAGGATGGGTTTCATAGGCATGTGACCTATGCAGTTGCATACAGACCCACACTTAGAAGGGTCCTGTGCTTGGTTAAATGTTCTGCTAATGCTGTTTTGAAATGCTTAATGACTTTTGAACAGGGACCCTGCATTTTCATTTGGCACTGATTCTGTGGTTTCTTCTATTTTATATATTATAGATGAAACAAACCAGAAAATCTTCTCTGCCTATTGGGTAAGAATTGTCTTGTATCTAGGCTGCCTGTGCTTGATTAATAGAGATCATCAAGATTTAAGTAGATTTTTTTTTAAACATTTGACCAACTTCCAAAAACAATTTTTAAGAATAGAAAATAAAATTTATAATAAGAATACTCATTTATATTTCATAGACCTTCAAAGTTTATAAGGTTATTTCCATATATTTTCTAATTTTATTCTTATTAAAGCTCATGGAGTTAGGCCAGTAATAATTCTACCCCCTTTTATTGATTTGCAAATACAGGCCCAGGAGAAGTTGTATGAAATAACCTTAAATCAGTCAGATAACCATTCTTCTCTGATTAAAATCTAGGTTAAGATTTTTTTTCTCATGTTGGGCATGGTAGCTAATGCCTATAATCCCAGCATTTTGGGAAACCAAAGCCAGCAGATCACCTGGGATTAGAAGTTTGAGACCAGCATGGCCAACATGGTGAAACCATGTCTCTACTAAAAATACAAAAATTAGCCAGTGTGGTGGCACACATCTGTAAGCCGAGGCACGAGAATTGTTTTGAATCTGAGAGGTGGAGGTGTAGTAAGCCAAGATCCCACCACTGCACACTAGCCTGGGTGATAGAGTAAGATTCTGTCTCAAAAAAAAATTTTTTTGAACGATTATAGCTAAAAATAGTGAATAGTGACATTTTATAATTTTTTTCAAAGTGTTTCGTAAATATAATCTCATTTAACCTTTCAGCTAGCCATCTGAAATAAAGAGTGTATAATCAGTGTATTTCCCTTTTTTGAAATGAAAAAAATCTAAAGGTACAAAAAATTATTTGTATGCATTATGTAAATAATGTAGGATCTGAAGCTATAGCCCAAATTTCTAACTCTGAATTCTGTGTCCTTCTTTCTTTCTTTCTTTTTATTTATTATTATATTTTTTTGAGACGGAGTTTCAATCTTGTTACCCAGGCTGGAGTGCAAGGGTGTGATCTCGGCTCACTTCAACCTCCGCCTCCTGGGTTCAGGCATTTCTCCTGCCTCAGCCTCCTGAGTAGCTGGGATTACAGGCACACGCCACCATGCCCAGCTAATTTTTTGTATTTTTAGTAGAGACGGGGTTTCACCATGTTGACCAGGATGGTCTCGATCTCTTGACCTCGTGATCCACCCGCCTCGGCCTCCCAAAGTGCTGGGATTACAGGCTTGAGCCACCGCGCCCGGCCCGTCCATCTTTCTATATTACACTATCTTCTGTTGTTTAGAGATGAATCCAACAATATGCAATGAACATTTCTTTTTAGCTTACCAGTATTTTTACTTTGTGTCTTTAGACTGCATCTGATGTTGTAGGACACACTCAGCACTTTATTGAATCAACAAATAATGTAAAAATTGGCAACATCTGATGTCCTTTGGACTTCGGTTCTTTATTCGCTTCTGGAAAATATACTATGAGTAAAACAGTTTTTTCTCTAATCTCAAAATGAACTGTATAATATTTCTAAAATGCTGTATACCTGTTTTTTTTAATTATGAATCAACTAATTAAAAAATTTATAAGACTTCTGGGCCCAAAGGGATATTTAAATGCTAAGTAAAATGCCTTGGGATGAAAACATTATAAATAAATATTTATGTTTAACCAATTTTCTATAAACTTTTTGGAGGTCTTTTGAAAGTTTCTTTGTTTGCTCCTTCCTAACTCCCTCTCTCTCTCCCTCTTCGCCTCCCTTTCTTTTAAGGAGTGCTATTCTATAAAAGCTATATTCTATCTTCTGCCAAACCCTCAAATCTAATTTTGGAACGACAACTTCTGTAGGTAATTTAAGTACAGAAGATAGATTTAATGTTCATTTTACTTTTGATTTATATGTGACATCTGTTTGGAACCAAATTTTCTCTGTTTTTAGAAACAGAGAAAAAAAATATTTTGGGATATGTAGGCCAGAGGCAAATGATCTGACAAGTAAGCCCCCTTGTTTTTAAAGGAAAAATTACCACAGTTTATAAGAGTGATACGGAGACCAAGAAGTTGACGAAGACCAAAGGATATTACACACGCATAGCATACAGTAGATTTTCAAGAAAAACGTTTACTGAATGATGAAGGAAAATATGTGTCTACGGTTTTATGGCCTACTTAGAATATAGGATATATCCTCTTTTTTTCTGACACGCTACCAAAGAAGAGTTATAAAATTCCTGTCTTCAGTCGTGTTGACCTAAAACAAGATATACTGTGGTATGACAGTACTAACCTTTATGTGCCTTATTCTCAGAGTTTGTGCCTTCAGGTTAAGTAGAGATATTGGCTAATAGCTTTAAGTCTTGCTACTTTTCTGTTCTCAGTGTAATGTTCAAAATTAGTGAAATGCAGACTTTTATTTCTTCCCTCGAATGTAAGTCATTTCTCTATTTCTTTAGTTATTAAATGCTTTTTGATAATATGATAAGAATATACATTGCATTGGCTTTTAGGAACATTTTTGTCATATATATTTCAAACTTTAATTAGGACCTCTAACAATAACCATTTTTTAAAACAAAGTTGGGCAGCAGTTGACTTTTTGTTTTCTTTATAGAAAATGGAAAGGTGCTAGAAAAAGGTGCTGAGTAATTTTAACCACATGCAATGCAGTAATCACCTGGAAATCACATACTTTCTGAATTGTCTTATTGCTACTATGAAAAACGGGAATAAATTTTATTCTTTAAAGCATTTTTTTTTTATTCCAGAGAAAAATTGAAGCTGAATTTAACACATTTTATTGACTTGTATATCACATCATTCATGACACAAATTTTTATTTCATTTGTGTACATGATTAACACTTTATTGACATTGTTACTATTATAAAATTGTAATATACAATTGGATCTAAATTTTTGTGGAATTAAAATAAGCCAACAGTAGGATTATCATTAAGCATTTAGAACAAAATGGATTCAAACTGTGCTTATTGGTCAGAACAAACAAATAATAGAATTGTCTACATTTTCTTTTGTTGCTGGCTTTGGTTGGTAGAAAATATTAATATATACCAAATACTATTTGAGATGTATAGATCATAAATACAGCATTGGGAATCTTTTTGTCATGCTGAGTTTTTTCGCTGGAATTTGTTATAGCATTTGTTGTAAATGGGATTTGACCTGTATAACCAACAGATAATGTAAAATGTTATTCTTTACCAGTAGTTTCCTGCAGCTATTATGTGTACAGTCTTTGTATCTCAGCCCACATTTATAATATTTGCACATCTTAACAAGCACGCTTTTGAATGTAAACGTTTCAGAGCTCTCAAGAACTTATAAAAAGAAATCTAATCTTGCTAGTGCATGCTTCAGATGGTAAGCATGTCATTTTAAAAAATGAGACAGATAGGCATTTAGGACTGGGAGAAGTCGTGAGTTTCTCCCTGTCATCGAGTGAATAAGTAGACTAGAACTTTCTTCTGTTATTTCCAGTAGTGTTTGGCTAAGACATGAAGAATATTTGCAACAAATGAATTTAGAATTCTTCACAAACTTAGATTCTCATAAAATCTCCTAAGATGTAAGGAACAAATTAGATATAACCTAATGTTCTTTATACTAACAGTTTTATAAAACTGAATAAGTAAAACAAAACAAAAACAAACACCTTACTCTCACTGTCTTGTCTGTTATCGTTATTAATGATGAGGTTTAGACATATTTTCCGTGAATACAGTATTTGCTCATGTTACTTAATAATTGAATTTTCTTTTCACTCTATTTTTGTTGGTTAAAACCATTTTTAATGTAAACTTACAGATACAAAAACATTCCAGGGATATTGGATAAGTGGTTCTTCTGAAAATTTCCAAAACTTTTAAAGCACCCATTTCATACCCATATAAACAAATGTTAGTTGTAACTGCCATACATCTAGTTTATTAGCAAGTTCAAAGGATTTGAACTATATTTATAAATAAATTTCTTCTATTTAGAAGGAAGAAAAGTTATTTTTTGTGAATATTATTGTTGTAATTATTTGAGTGATATAATTTTACCATGTTACAGTTTATCATCATTTTTCTCATGAAGTTCTGTAGGAAATACTGCCTATTTAATACCTTTACACTTGAATAGCACTGATAATTTTGTTTCCCTTCAGGGCATACAGCTGTTTCCAGCCTACTCAGTGCCATGTCAGGACATAAAATTATCTTGACAGAAAGATTTAAATTATAAATAGCCCCATAATGACATTCAGCTTGGGCGGTACATTTATAAAAGGAATTATTAAGAAAATGTCATTTCAACCCATAACTATAACTAGATTCTCTCACATTTCTGAAGCTGTCTTTTGGTAGCCAGATAATATTTGCATATGTAAGCATTTAAACTATTAGGGCTATCAAGTCTACAAGTATAAAAACATATTATGGGCTGGGCGCGGTGGCTCAAGCCTGTAATCCCAGCACTTTGGGAGGCCGAGGCGGGTGGATCACGAGGTCAAGAGATCGAGACCATCCTGGTCAACATGGTGAAACCCCGTCTCTACTAAAAATACGAAAAATTAGCTGGGCATGGTGGTGCGTGCCTGTAATCCCAGCTACTCAGGAGGCTGAGGCGGGAGAATTGCCTGAACCCAGGAGGTTGCGGTGAGCCGAGATCATGCCATCGCATGCCAGCCTGGGTAACAAGAGCGAAATTCTGTCTCAAAAAAAAAAAAAAAAAAAAATATATATATATATATATATATATATATATTATGGATATTAGATAAATGGTTTCCTAAAATTTTCCAAAACATTTCTATCACAAATACATCTTACTACATGTCTTTGTCCTATGAAAACTGATACAGTATTGGAGAGTTGAGACCCCAAGATCTTGATATTATTCAAAGAGCATAGCACTGGAAATACTTTACATGTAATTAAAGAAGAAAAGAACTAGAAGTTGATTTATCTGATTGTTATCCCATAAGAAACATCACAACATTGAATAGGGAATAAAATTTTATGAGCATTTTTTTCCTAGAGTAAATGTTGACTATAAATTACTTGTTAGTGTTTTGATTTTTAAATACCCAGTCTACCATCTTATTAGTACATTTAAATCCTATGAGAATCTACTTAACCCAAGTTATATTTTTCTCTGAACAAAATTATATTTATTCAAAAATGCTTTACTGTATGAATATGTGTATTGGTATGAGTCATTTTTCTACTTTATGCTGCATGTGTACCTGGTTATTTCAGCATCAGAAAGTAGGGATACATAAAAGAAAGTGAATGGGAAGATCAGTCAGTGATAACAATACGTAATATGGGTCCATGTTGTGGAGTCTTGCACTTATCAAGCTTAGGTTGTGTTATGATCATCACTAAAAAACTAGAGCATTGCTGGTTTGAAGCTGGCATGGTGGAGATGTTAGTGTCAGAGTAACAGGAATATTTAACCTCTGTGATATAAATCTCTATGAAACCTCTGTTTAACACAAACCTCTGTGTGTGTGTTCATTGATTTTATTTCTAAACTCTGTAGTTTGTAAGTATTACGGCATTGTGCTGCTTAGCGGGCCAAAACTTGCCTAAGCTGAGTGTTGATCCCGACTTCAATTTCTAATTCAATTTTTAATGACATTTTCTTTTTTTGATTTTGACTCCTTCTCAATAGAGACATTTCTTACCATGCTTCTGCCAGTTTAGCAACATTCATTTCTCTCTTAAGCATGTCTTAGAAACAGCCTAATAAATTTATTCTTTCCTTTCTCAATTTCTGTCTCTTAGAAAGGGATTTCTGTCAAAGGTTCAGTGTTCTGAGTTGTTCCTGTGCTACCTAATCACTTTAGCCACTTAGCTTTGAAACTACCTGATGAAAAAAGGAAGTTGTACTGGCATATGTAGGTCAATTCCTTTGATTTCTCATTTTCTTATTCCCGCACATAGAATGATGAGAAAATTTAATATTGTTAGCTTTCTTTTAAACAGCTCTATATTCTGGGTGGGTTTAAGCCACCCCAATTTCTGATATTTTAAAACAATCCTCATGTGTATTCTAGATGAGACTCTTCAATAGGAAAGGAACAGTAATCAGTCCACCTGATTTATTTAGCATATATCATTACCTTCTACTGTGTGCCAGGCACTGTGCTTGCCACTGAGGATAACAGTAATAAAATATTTTATCAGAGGAGCTCCATCACCTAGTGAAGAATATGATCAAACACACTCAGACCTTTGCTGGTTAGCCAATTGAATTGCTTAGTACATTATTTCAGGCACCTGCAGTAGAATCTTACTGATCTTCTAGTGAATACATCCCTGGTCTGAGGGTTAGAAGGTTTTCATGCCATTTCTTTCTGCTGACATTTCATCTTTCATCATATATTTAATACAGTATAATCTTGAGTAAGCCATACATCATATTTATAAAGTTAGTAATGTCTGTTACAACATATTGTGAGATCTCCGGGGCAGAAGTGCTGAGTCAACAGAAACATTATCCTTTCAACAAACATGCACTAAGTACCTATAACCGAAGCATTATGTATTAGGCTTCCTGAGTGATACAGAGATAAGTGAGACAATTGTCTAGGTCTAGTAGCTGACAATGCAGTGTATTGGATGAAAATACACTTAACAGTTAAGACATTTCTTTAGTGCTTTCTTGTAAAGAACAAATGTATGTTTAAATGCGAATTCTACTCTTATTAACTATATTCTCTCTAATTCTATGATTTGTAGTTGGAGATTTTCCAAAGCTTAATGGGCACTGTAAACTAAAAAATTAAGTTAGTTTATTATCAGTTTATTTAAATAGTGTTCTTTAGCTTTACCTTCACTTTCACTTGTATTACCAGAGTATTTAATCATTATTAGGAGACATTTAAAAAATTTCTACTATTCGTGTCAGGGTTTTCAACCCTTAATAATATGGCAAACCATCTTATGGGGGAAAAAAAGTCCTCAAAGATCCTCTTTTCACCAGTGTTGGGTGTGCATGTTTGTATTTGTATATTTTATTTATGGTTATCTAAATATATGGAGATACACAGTTAAATACAAACTATACTCTTAACTTTCATGACCGTAATCTATTAGAAGCAAACTATAAAAACAGTAAAAATGTCTATTTGCCACATTAATCTAATGTTATAAATTATGTTGTCTTTGAGAAAATAAATTGCTGCTGACGGTGAATATGATACTGAGAGCTACAACACAGATTTTTTTTTAGCTTTCTTTTCAAAAGTACTATTACAGCTATGTGAAATTATATTAGGTTATTTTTCTGGTGCTTTTTCAGTGCTTGCAATTATTTTTTTAAAAACTAGGACAATTAAGATTTTGTTGTATGATGCTGGTAAGCATAACCTAGAATAAATATAGGTATTGTAAATCATTAATCTAAAGGATAGTAGTATTTATTTTAATGAAAGGCAATAGAACTATATTAGGCTGGCTTTAAAATAATAGTGATCATCACTAGTCATCTTCTTTACTGGATAATATAATCAAAGGAAGGGCTTTTGTGTTTTTTGAAGGTGTTCTCTTTCTACAGAGTTATAAGGATCTATAATATATACAACAGGTTTTCCCCAAATAACAAGTGCTGCACCTCTCCCTTTCTAGTTCTAAGGAGAATCCATGGCACTCTTTCCCACCAAGCCTACCTTCTCAAGTCTTTTTTACTAGCTCATAAGATAAACCAATGGATTTAGGGGGAGAACACTAAAAAGGAGACAAATAGACAATATAAATAAAGGAGAAAGGTATGGAGAGACATGCATAGCTTTCTGTTTCCAGCCAATTCCAGCCAGGTTAGTCTATAAACATTGGAGAAATGTGCTGTGTTAGCAACATATATTACTACATTTGTTAACTGAATTTTGGTCATTAGTTATTAGCAAGGAACATATGAATCTAAAGACTATCTTGATTTTTTGATACAAAGCATGTAAATTTTAATTTTTATTTCCCAGTAAGGTATCTTTTGGGAAAATAAATTAATTCATGTTACGTCTCAGCTTAAATCCTTCAAAAGGCTGGGCTCAGTGGCTCATCCTTGTAATCCCAGCACTTTGGGAGGCTGAGGTGGGCAGATTGCTTGAGTTCAGGAATTTCAGACCAGCCTGGGCAACATGTTGAAACCCCATCTCTACAAAAAAATACAAAAATTAGCCAGATGTGGTGGTATACACCTGTAGTCCTGGAAGCTCAGGTGGGAGGATTGCTTGAGCCCGGGAAGCAGAGGTTGCAGTGAGCCAAGATTGCACCACTGCACTCCAGCCTGGGCGACAGAGCCAGACTCTGTCTGAAAAAAAAAAAAAAAAATTTCAAAAGACTTACCCCTTCTTTTAGAACCTTCATGATTTTTTGTTTGTTTGTTTGTTTGGTTTTTGAGAATAGGATCCCAGACCTCAAACAATACCTAGCATGCAGTAGACCGTCATTAACATTTTAATTTAATTGAACTCTAATTGCATGAATCCGGGCAGAACATGTTGGCAGTAAGTAAATCTTTTCCATTTTTAGTGTATTCTAGGGAAGTACATTGAAGATTGGAGGTATGGAAGCAAGTTAGAAGAGCAGAAAATCCAAATTTCATACAAACCAAATAGAGTTCATTTTAACAGACATTTATTGAGTGCTCAACATTTCCCACTATTGTTGGAAGTCAGTAACATGTAGGGTTGTCAAAGCCACATTGTTGAATATGTGTAGAATAATGAAAGATGTAAGTGATATAAAAAATAACTTGTGCTTAGGTTTCTGTTTTTTGTTTTTTAATTTGGACTGCAGAGACAACTCATAAAGATAAGATCATGAGTATTTCAAGTTTTCTTTTGAAAACTGAGTCATAGATGTTGCATTTTAAGCCAAGGTTTGATCATTCTATACTTCATGGCTTTTTAAAATTCTAGTTGCTATAACAACTTTGATATTTCTTTATTATTTTTAGTACTTCAGTTACCATAACAATAAGATATCCGAAAAAATAGCAATTTTCTTCTATAAGAGAACATTTTCTTTTAATTAAAATTAATGTGAAACAACATTTCTTTCCTATAATGTGAACCCATTATTCAAAATGAGAGTGTGCTTTTCTGTTGTCATACAATTTTAACAGACTTTTGTAGGAAATGTCTTAAGGTCCAACTTTTTTCTCTCTCTGTTTTTACTGTATAGAAGTTGAAGGGAGATAGCTGTTTTGAACCCTTATATGAGATAATTCTAATTTTTATGGGATTTCATCGATACAAAAATGAAATGAAATTATATTAAAAATGTAATTCCTAGATTTTTTAGTTTATAAAGTAGGAAACAGTCATGATTGATAGATAGTTGTAAGCCATGGGAGATGTAAGAAAGGTTGAAATTTCCTTTTCTCCTGTGTTACTTTTAAGTGTATTTTCACATTTATTGCTGTAGTAAAACAACTACCACTTCACTTACCTAGAAATAACTGACAGCTTAGTCCGGAGCTGTGGCACTTTACTCATAGAGCAGTACCTTTATTTACTCTTTGAGAAAAAATTCTTAGAAGCTTAGTTTCTGATACTGAAGCCTCTAGAAAATGAAGATAGCAAATTAGAACGGGAAGGAGGGCCTACTGCTATGTTTGCCCTGCAAATAGATTCAGAAAATATAGGGAGCTATGTATTATTTTTAAGGTACCTAATTCTTATGGAAATCAAACAAATCCAGCAGCTACAAAGGTTTGATTGTATCAGAAGACAGTGTTCTTAATAGTGATGATCCTAGCCTACCAAATATTAAATTATGTCAGAATTCTTGGTTTAAGAAGACAGAAGACTAGATAATACATCTTATAAGAATTTTGATGCCTAATGTAATAGAGTAAAACAAATTTTTTTTTAAAAAATTGGTATCATTTTTCTTTTTCTTTTTTTAAGGAATAATTTCAACTTTTATTTTAGATTTAGGGATACACATGTAGGTTTCTCTCATCAGAATATTGTATAATACTGAGGTTTGGGGTATGGTTGATCCCTTCACCCAGGTAATGAGCATAGTACCCATAGTTTTTTAAGCCTTACTTCCTCCCTCCCTCCCCACTGTAGCAGTTCCCAGCATCTATGTTTCCTATCTTTATGTCCATGAGTACCAAATGTTTAGCTCCCACTTTCAATTGAGAACGTGAGTATTTGGTTTTCTTTATCTTGCATTTAGTTTGCTTAGGATAATAGTCTTTGGCTGTATCCATTTTGCTGCAAAAGATATAATTTCATTTTTTATGGCTGTATAGTATCCCATGTTATCTGTGTACCATATTTTCTTTATCCGGTCCACCAGCATAAAACAAAATTTTAAAAATCAATTTTAAAAAGCCCTCATTTATCTGGGAAATGGAGGATCCACTTACCTTAGGTTTTCATGGACTAAGCCTTGGTAATTTTATGTTACTTTATTGCTAATCATGGGATTTTCCTAGAAAGCACGGTCAGGTTCAGACAATGATATTTCTTTTCTTTAATAATATGCTTTTTTGTAATAAAAAGGAATGATGAGTGAACTGGCAATTCAATAGAAAAGAAAAACTGTTGTTATTAATTTCTGAACCTCAGCATGTTACCTGTGGATGTAGTTTCTGAAGGCAAAATGATTAAACAAAAAGCTTACTGATCAGTGAGCTTTGAATGAATAGCCACTGTATGTTTACATGCTTTGTTTTTACTTTTTAGTTTTCCTAGCCAACTTTTAAAGGTAAGTATTATTATCTCCATATTAAAGATGGAAGCTGAGATACATGGAGAGAAAGATATACCCAAGGCCTCATAGTTAATGAGTGGTATAGCCATCGTGCCAACCCGAATCTGTCTGATTCTGAAACCTACATCCTTTCCTCTAAGTCATAGTATCTCCTTGTCTTTAAACTTAATAAATGTTTATTACGGGTAATAACATACCTAGGAGAAAATATGAGAAGAAAGATCATACTGTGTATGGTTTTATTTTATTGCTCTGCATACTGTTTTGACCTGTTAATTTAGTTTTAAACACATATTTTATGTTTGAGACTTTCCTCACTAAGAAGGTCGTAAATATACATGTAAATTAGTATTTTCTTTCTCCATTTTTCTCTATGATTGATGAAACATAATGGAACCTCTCAAAGGTGTTGCTTACTTGGCTCATTGTCTTAGAGCTCAGCTAGCTAAGGCAGTCTCAAAGTGTTGTATAACTGGCATTTAATAAGTCTTTTCTCACTCAGTGTCTCACTTGCGGCTGGGCTGTTGTATCTTGAATACAAACACTGAGCCATGAGTCAGATATACTGATTGAGTGTGAAAGTACACACAGGCTCTGGATGTACTTACCCTGTCCACCAGTGTCTGTTCTTTCAGACATTGTAGTAACTCTCATTCTTTATGGGACATTGCTACAAAGGATTCTGGTATTTTTCTTTTTAAACATCAATATACTAAATAATTTCCTGGCAATGCCTTTAAATTCATTCAGGTAATTTAGGGCCTTCATTTCATGGCTTTACACAAAATTCAAACGCTTGATTACATGCAAAAGCCATCACAGGTTTTTCAGTCTCTTCAGCTATAACTTACACAGGTCTCAAATGTCACATTTTAATGAGCTTTGACATGTATGCATGTGTGTAACCACGTGGATCAAGATACAGAATGTTTCCCTCATCCCTGAAAGTTCCTCATACCTCTTGCCAGTCTTGACTGGTGCATGTGTGCACATGAGCGCACACTACACACACACACACACACACACACCCTGAGGCAACTAGGGTTCTGATTTCTTTCAGCAAAAATTAGTTTCTCCCATTTCAGAACTTCATATAAAATCATGCAATGTATATTCTCCAATGTATGGCTTCTTTCTTTTAGTTTTAAGATCCATCCATGTTATGTGTGTCATTAGTTTTTTTCCTTTTCATTGTATGGAAATACCATAGTTTGTTTATTCATTCCCCTGTTGATGAATGTGTGTAGGATGTTTCTAGTTTTGGCTATTTCTTTCTTTTTTTTTTTTTTGATATGGAGTTTTGTCCTTGTTACCCAGGCTGGAGTGCAATGGCGCAATCTCAGCTCACTGCAACCTCCGCCTCCTGGGTTCAGGCAATTCTCCTGCCTCAGCCTCCTGAGTAGCTGTGATTACAGGCACGCACCATACTGCTATGAAAATTTTTAAACGAGTGTTTTGTAGACAATATGTTTTCCTTTCTATTAGATGGAATTGATGGGAGAGGTAGGGTAGATTTTCTTTAACATTATAAGAAAATCCCAAACTGTCAAATTTTCAAAGTTGAGTCATTTTACACTACTACCAGCAGTGTGCAGTTTCAGTTCTACATCCCTACCAACATTGTTTTGTCAGTCTTTTCATTTTAGCCATTCTGGTGGTGATATATTGGTATCTCATTGTGAGTATATATTGGTATTTCAACTACTTTGCCATTTCCTGATGACTGTGGATGTTGAGCACTTTTTCATTTTCCTAGTGATTATTTGTATATCATCCTTAGTGAGGTGGCTTCCAGTTTTTTCACTATTTTTAATTGGATTATTTGTATTTATATTAACAAATCATAGGAGTCAGTTACGTATTTTGGATACAAGTCCTTTGTTAGATATATGTTTTGCTAATACTGTCTTTGACTTGCTGATTTTTTTTCTTTTTTTTTTGTGCTTTAAGTTCTGGGGCAGATGTGTAAAATGTGCAGGTTTGTTACATAGGTATACACGTGCCATGGTGGTTGGCTGCACCTATCAACCCGTTATCTATGGGTATTTCTCAACCCGAATCTACATTAGGTATTTCTCCTAATGCTATTCCTCTCCTAAACCCTCCACCCTCTGACAGGCCCCGGTGCATAATGTTCCTCTCCTTGTGTCCATGCGTTCTCACTGTTCAACTCCCACTTTTTTTTATTCTTATGTTAGTTTGTTGAGAATTATGGTTTCCAGCTTCATCCATGACCCTGCAAAGGACATGAGCTCATCTTTTTTATGGCTGCATATATTCGTGGTATATTTGTGCCACATTTTCTTTATCCAGTCTATCACTGATGGGCATATGAGTTTGTTCACTATTGTGAACAGTGCTGCAATAAACATACATGTGCATGTGTCTTTATAGTAGAACGATTTATAATCCTTTGGGTATATACCAAGTAATGGGATTTCTGAGTCAAATGGTATTTCTGTTTCTAGATCCTTAAGGAATCACCACACTATCTTCCACAATGGTTGAATTAATTTGCGTTCCTACCAACAGTGTAAAAACGTTCCTATTTTTTCATATCCTCTCCAGCATCTGTTATTTCCTGACTTTTTAATAATCGCCATTCTAACTGCCATGGGATGGTATCTCAGTGTGGTTTTGATTTGCATTTCTCTAATGACCAGTGATGATGAGCTTTTTATCATGTGTTTGTTGGCCACATAAATGTCTCCTTTTGAGAATTGTCTGTTTATCTCCTTCACCCACTTTTTGATGGGGTTATTTATATTTTTCTTGTAAATTTGTTTGAGTTTTTTGTAGATTCTGGATATTAGCCCTTTGTCAGATGGATAGATTGCAAAAATTTTCTCCCATTTTGTAGTTTGCCTATTGACTCTGATGATAGTTTCTTTTGCTATGTAGAAGCTCTTTAGTTTTTTGAGGGGGATTGTTTGTTTGTAGAAGAGTGGTTTATTAGACAGAGAGAGACAGAGAGAGAGAGAGAGAGAGAGAGAGAGAGAGAGAGAGAGAGAGAGAGAGAGAGAGAGAGAGACAGCTTCCATGCTCTTGTGGGAGGGGATCCCAGAGCAGTAAATCCCAGAAGCTCTTTAGTTTAACTGTCTCAAAATCCATCCCTCAATAGCTTCACCTGTAAGATGGGAAAATAAAATCATCATGGGATGCCATAAACAAGCAAACCGGTTCTCTGCCTCCTAGGTGCAAGCGATTCTCCTGCTTCAGCCTCCTGAGTAGCTGGGATTATAGGCGCTTGCTACCATGCCTGGTTAAATTTTATATTTTTAGATTAGACAGGGTTTTGCCATGTTGGGCAGGCTGGTCTCGAGCTCCTGACCTCAGGTGATCCATCTGCCTCATCCTCTCAAAGTGCTGGATTACAGGCATGAGCCACTGCACCCAGTGCAAGATCTTAACTCTTAAGGCTTTATAGTATGTCTTGAATTCAGGTTGTGCCAGTCTTTCAACTTTGTCTTTTGTTTGTTTCTCTTTCTCATGATTGTTTTAGCTCCCCTAGATCCTTTGTGTTTACCTACAGGTTTTAGAATTAGTAGCTTGTCAGTTCTACAAAAGCTGCTTGGATTTTAATTGGAATAGTGATGTATCTAAAGATCAATATGAGAAAAATTGATGTTCTTAACAATATTGTTTTCCATTCTGTAAAGACAGTAGGCCAGACGTGGTGGCTCACGCCTGTAATCCCAGCACTTTGGGAAGCTGAGGCAGGTGGATCACTTGAGTTCAGGAGTTCGAGACCAGCCTGGCCAACATGGTGAAACCACATCTCTGCTAAAAATACAAAAATTAGGCGGGTGTGATGATGCATGCCTGTAATCCCAGCTACTCAGGAGGCTGACGCAGGAGAATCACTTGAACCTAGGCTGCGGAAGTTGCAGTGAGCCGAGATTGCACCACTGCACTCCAAAGCCTGGGACACAGCAAGACTCCATCAAAAAAAAAGAAAAAAAAAAAGGAAAAAGGATTGTATGTATATCTCCATTTATTTAGGACCTTTTAATTTTTCTCAAATGACATTTAATAATTTTCAGAATTTAGGTTTTATACATTCTCACCTACTTTCTGTTTTTCAAGGCTATTTTAAATGATTTATTGTTTTTAAATTTTATTTTCTACTTTTTCTTGCAAGTATATTGAAATGCAGTCATTTTTATATATTGACCTGTGTTCTGACAAAATTTATTCATTAGTTCTGGTGGGCACTTGGGAAGACATTTTAGTATTTCTTAGGTACCCACTTATATCTTCCTTTTCTTGTATGCCTTTTTTTTCTTGCCTATTATATTGGCTGGCACCTCTAGTACAATGTGTATAGATGTGTAAGAGCAGATATACTTCCCCTTTTCCCAATCTGGGAAGAAAACATTTAATATTTCATCACTAAATATTTCACCATTAAATATTATGCTAGATGTAGGTTTTCCCATAAAGTGTCTTTATCAGGTTGAGGACATTATCTTTTGTAGTGCCACTAAATTAACTTTTCTGAAATACTCTTAGTTGCTAATAATTTGTCTCATAATAAAATGAAATTGACAACATAAAATTGTTTTCTACCCTTGAGAGGTCACTAAGTCAGTAGATTGTGATATGTATTACTTCCGAGGGTGTATTTATTTCTTGGCACTTAGACCAAGTTGCTTTAATGCTACATTTGATAGTATATTTAAAGTGCATTGATACTGTCTTTTGCAGCATTTGGCATTTTTTTAGATGATAAGTAATTAATCATTGTCACTTGCTAGATAGGACTTTTCAAAGCGCTAGTGAAATACTCATATTTAATTCATTGTAGGGAGATTTATAGATGACTGATATTACTCTTCACTTGAATATATTAGGAAGTTAATTTCCCCCTCCCACAATTGGGAAATACATTTCCTAGCTTTTTCTTGTGAAGCTTGTGTATGCTGAGCTTCACATAAACTTGATATTAGCATTTTTCAGTCCTTTGATAGACTCTTTTAGCTGCTTTATGTGGTTTATATTAAAATTATGTTAAATACTTATTTATTCGACACCTATTCTGTGCCCAGCACCACAGTGTAGGCACTTGAGATGTAATGGCAAACAAAGCAGATGTTGCTCCCCTCATGGGACTTGCAATCTAGTCAAGAAGACAAAGCTGAATGAAGTAAATAATTATAAACTATAATAAATGTAGAATCTGGTCTGGTTCCCTGTGGGAACTCTAGGAAGATTTCCCAGAGGAAGTGGTATTTGAACTGAGACCTAAAGATTGCATCTGAATTAAATAAAAGAAGTGTGATGGCATAGTAAGCAGCAGTTATAAATATCCTGAGGCCATAGGGAACACTGCAAGTATATTTGCAACTGGGGGGTGAGGGATATGAGTTGGTGGGGAGGTAGAGGTGTTTCAGCTAATTTTAAACAGCATAGAAGAGAAATGAGACTGGATGGATACCCGGAGACCAGTTTTTATAGCACCTGTTAGGATCTTATCCTAAGGGCAGTGTAAACCAGTAAAGTATTTTAAAACAAAGAAGCACACAATCTGGTTTGCATTGTGGAAAAAAAATTTGGATGGTTTTTTCTTGTGAATAATAGATTGAAGAGAGATTACAAACAACTCATGGAGGCCACGCTGGAAGCCACTACAGTGTCTAAGCACAAGATGATGCTAGTTTGCTGGGGTAATGATAGTGGAGATGGAGAAAACTTGCCAGGTAGGAGACGTAGTTGAGGAAATAGGTAAATTCTGAATGCATACATCTTTTGGTACGTTTTTAAATTTATTAAAGCACAACAGGTTTCCGTTAGTCTCTATTCGTTTACTTTTTGTTTTTGAGGCAGTTTCACTCTGTTGCTCAGGCTGGAGTGCACAGTGGTACAATCTTGGCTCAATGTAAGCAATTCTCATGCCTCAGCCTCCCGAGCATCTGGGATTACAGGCATGTGCCACCCCACCTGGCTAATTTTTTGTATTTTTAGTAGATACAGGACTGCACCATATTGGGCAGGCTAGACTTGAACTCCTGACCTCAAGTTGATCCGCCTGCCTCGGCCTTCCAAAGTGCTGTAATAACATGGTAGTGCATATATCTGTTTGATATTGCTGGTTTCCTTTCTTTTGGATATATACCCAGCAGTGGGATTACTGAATCATATGATAGCTCTATTTTTAAATTTTTGAGGAACTTCCATACTGTTTTGCATAGTGGCTATTTTACTTTTACATTCTCCCTAACAGTATATGAGTGTTCTGTTGTCTCTGCATCTTCACCAGCATTTGTTACGTTTTGTCTTTTTGATAATAAGCATATTCACTAGGTGAATATTCACTATAGTTATATAGAGAATAACCATATTCACTATAGTTATACAGTGGTATTGTAGTTTTGATTTGCATCTCCCGGATGCGAATTGAGCAATTTTTCATATCCTCTTGGCAGTTTATATGTCCTCCTATGAGAAATGTCTATTCAGATCTTCATCAACTTATTGGTTATTCAAGAGCATGTTGTTTAATTTCCATGTATTTACACAGTTTCCAAAGCTCCTCTTGTGATTTTTAGTTTTATTCCATTGCAGTAAGAAAAGATACTGATATGATAGAAATCATTTTTATAAAATCTGAAATTATTCTAAGACATTTTCTGACTGGCAGCCATCAGAAGAAAGAAGAGAGTAGGGATTTTATTTGTTTTATTCTTGGTTTTTTTGCTCATTTATGGTTCAGGGAATACATGTACAAGTTTGTTACATGGGTTAATTGTGTGTCATTGGTTTGGTATACAAATGATTTCATCACCCAGGCAGTGAGCATAGTGCTCAATAGGTAGTTTTTCAGTCCTCTCACCCTCCACCCTCCTGTGGAGTCAGCCCCAGTATCTATTGTTCCCCTCTTTGTTTCCATGTGTGCTCAGTGTTTAGCTCTCACTTGAAAGCGAGTATATGTAGTAGTTGGTTTACTGTTTTTGCATTAATTTGCTTAGGATAATGGCCCATAGCTGCATCTGTGTTGCTGCAAAGGACCTTATTTTGTTCTTTTTGTGCCTGCATAGTACTTCATGGTCTGTATGTACCATGTTTTCTTTATTCAGTCCATTGTTGATAGGCATCTAGATCGATCCATGTGTTTGCTATTGTGAATAGTGCTACAATGAACACATAAATGCATGTGTCTTTCGTAGAATGATTTCTATTCCTTTGGGTTGAATGGTAGTTCTCTAAGTTTTTGAGAAATTGTCAAACTGCATTTCACAGTAGTTGAACAAATTTACATTCCCACTGGCATTATATAAGTGTTCCTTTTTTCCCACCACTTTTCCAACATCTGTAATTTTTTCACTTTTTTATTATTATTATACTCTAAGTTCTGAGATACATGTGTAGAACATGCAGGTTTGTTACATAGGTATACGTGTGCCATGGTGGTTTGCTGCACCCATCAACCCGTTATCTACATTAGGTATTTCTCCTAATGCTGTGCTTCCACTAGCATCCCACCTCCTGATAGGCCCTTGTATGTGATGTTACTCTCCCTGCATCCATGTGTTCTCATTGTTCAACTCCCACTTATGAGTGAGAACATGAAATACTTGCTTTTTCTGTTCCTGTGTTAGTTTGCTGAGAATGGTTTCCAGCTTCATCCATATCCCTGCAAAGGACATGAGCTCATCTTTTTTATGGCTGCCTAGTATTCCGTGGTATATATATGCCACATTTTCTTTAGCCAGTCTGTCATTGATGGGCATTTGGGTTGGTTCCAAGTCTTTGCTATTATGTGCCAGTAAACATACATGTGCATTTGTCTTTATAGTAGGATGATTTGTAATCCTTCAGGTATATACCCAGTAATGGGATTGCTAGGTCAGATGGTATTTCTGGTTCTAGATCCTTGAGGAATCACCACACTGTCTTCCACAAAGGGTGAACTAATTTACACCCCCACCAATAGTGCAAAAGCATTCCTATTTCTCCACATCCTCTCCAGCATCTGTCGTTCCCTGACTTTTTAATGATCACTATTCTATAGCTGGCATGAGATGGTATTTCATTGTGGTTTTGATTTGCATTTCTCTAATGACTAGTAATGATGAACTTTTTTCCATATGTTTCTTGGCCACATAAATGTCTTTTTCTGAAATGTGTCTGTTCGTATGCTTTGTCTATTTTTTGATGGGGTATAGGAATGCTTGTGGTTTTTGCACATTGATTTTGTATCCTGAGAGTTTGCTGAAGTTGCTTATCAGTAAAGGAGATTTTGGGCTGAGATGATGGGGTTTACTAAATATACAGTCATATCATCCACAAACACAGACAATTTGACTTCCTCTCTTCCTAGTTGAATACCTTTTCTTTCTTTCTTTTGCCTGATTGCCCTGGCCAGAACTTCTAATACTATATTGAATAGGAGTGGTGAGAGAGGGCATCCTTGTCTTGTCCTGGTTTTCAAAGGGAATGCTTCCAGCTTTGGCCCATTCAATATGATATTGGTTGTGGGTTTGTCATAAATAGCTCTTATTATTTTGAGATATGTTCCATCCTAGTTTATTGAGAATTTTTAGCATTAAGGGGTGTTGAATTTTATCAAAGGCGTTTTCTGCATCTATCTCAATTTTTTTACTTTTTAATAATAACCATTCTGACTGGTGTGAGATAGTATTTCATTGTGGTTTTGGTTTGCAATTTTTAAATAGTGTTAAGTATAATAATAACCTATTTCAGTCCTGGTTTCACAACTCTGTAATTATAGGCAAGTTATACTTACTATTTCTAGTATCTGCTTTCTTCCTTTGGAAAATGATAATGATGATACCAACTTCATATAGTTTTAAGGTTTTTATAAAGGAACAGTATATAAAGCACATAGCACAGTGCTTAGCATATAGAAAACACTCAACAAACATTTTCCATTTTTATCTTCATTTTCCTGCTGTATTTTAATTCTGAAATAATTTATAAATTATTTGAAAATCACTTTAAGAAAAGTGCTAATCCCATAAGAAATATGTTTAAAATAGTGACTGTTTTCCTGTAGTAAGTCAAAATAATCAGAAATGTTTTTAATGTCCATCAAATATTTGATTTTAATTTGCATTGTTCTAATTTAGGTATGTGTAGCTCAAGCACTTAGAACAGATTTTTTTAACTATTTGACCTTTTTTTCATATTAGGATAAAAGGTGGATAAGCAATGTTTCTATTTATTCTAATTTCTATGCTCTTTTGAGATTATATTTGACCTTCAGTATTTCTCTGAATAGATTTGGGTACAGTAGTGTTAGTTCTATTGCTGTGTACAGTTAAATACATCGAACTCAGCAATTTTTTGTGGGTATGGTGGGGATTGGAGAGATTAGTAAATGATTTCTAACTTCTGTTAATTAAAATATAACTGTATTTTAGAGAGAAATTAGTAGTCATATCACTTGAGTTCATAAAGACTTGGCAGATTTTTAATAATTAATAAGTTTTTTCTGCCAAAGAGCATTAGATTACTGCTGACTTTTTAGTGTCATAGTGCCTTGTGGTAATTTCTTTACAGGGTTTACAGGAGTATGCCAGTTTATTTTTTCTGTCCTGTCCATACAAAATAATCCTTTCAAATGCTATAAGGAGAATAACTTGAGAAGTTCATAAATGCCTTAATATATTATAAAGATCGGTCAGTTCCATTGTCTTCTTTTGTCAGTCTTGATCGGAGCTTGCCGAGTAAGTCTATAAGCCTGCATGTGCCTGGCAACTGTTACCTAGTGACAGTTTCAGCTGCAGTAGCCATTGGCTGTGCTGTTGATTGGGGCAGGAGGGCCGAGTCACCTTTCTGATGGTGAGTTTTTCTGCATCAGCCCAGGATGATGATGAGGAGGAGGGCCTGGGCTCAGGTGGAGGCATTGATGCTGAGAGATTGTGAAGAATATACAGACAGCATCCTTGTAACTGCATCACAGTAAATCGGACTTCTGAATCAAGCAGCCCAGCCTAGCAGCTGATAAGAGTGAATGTAGGTGAGAAGCATTACCTTATTCCTATAACAAGAGAACTATTTTGTGATAGGTGAAACTAGGAATTTACAAGAAGAAATATCCTATGGCTATAACAAAAGAAGAAAGACTTGCCTGAATGACTTGGTGGTGCACCAGAAAATAACTTTCAGAAGAATGCTTTCTATTAAGCTGCTGCATTGTTCCTGGAGGAAATGTTTTCATTTCTAATGCATGTTATTTCTTCAAAAGATAAGATAACAAAGAATGACAAGAGACTCTCTGAAATGACTTTACTTTTAAAAAGTACTTTGACAAATGTTAACCTGATATCAGAATGACCTTGGAAGCATTTTGGATGGATTCTATCCTGCCAGCCTTGCAATATTTCAAACTCTAGGATTTAAACTCATCTTGATACTTTAGAGGTATTTTAAAATAACACTATCTTGCAACCTATCTAATGGCCCCCGTATTAATTGAGCACTTGCTCAAAATAGAATACAGAAATAGAAGAGGCATTTTTTAACATATGGCTGCTACATAACTGCAAATGTAATAAACAAGGTAATTTTCCACTTTCAGAAGATATAGTTAAAGAAATGATTTAATGTGTTAATCATCTACTGAAAATAGAAAAGATAGCAAAATAGAATATGAAGTCTGTTAGAAACACTGAAGTAATAAATAATGGCAGCATTTCTGGTCAGATAAGCTCAGAGTGTATCGGAAAGTTTTATTATTGTCTAACTTTAATATGTATTTACATATATATGTGAGAAATTGGTGTACAGTTGCAAAGGTGAGAAATAACTATGAGCTATATATTTTATCATGCTCTGTTATAAGAAAGGTGGTATATCAAATAACAAACATTATTTTAAGTTGTATGTGCAAATTAATAGCAAAAGTGATTTCTTTTCATTTTGAAAAGGAAGAGGTATAATTTAGTACCACCAGTAACTGTAATGTACTAAAACTGCTTTCATCTAAATGCTTTAAAAATGCATGCAGAATTAAAACTTCAGAAGTTTATTATATTTTGCCAGGTGTTAATTCATTAGTTCATTGTATATTATCTTTTCTATTGGAAAAATACTTTTTTCTCATGGAGTTATAGGGTAATCTGGAGTCTGTTTATTCCCCCTACTCTACCCATGTCGAGATGAATCTTTATAAATTAACTTTGATAGAGTTGTTTTTCTTAGATTTTAGAAAAATGAGAAATAGATTATAGAGTTGACCCACCAACATCAATCCCTGAACTAAGCCCAAAGACACTCTTTGCCACAATGAACTTTTTCTTAGCTTTTCAACCAAATTTGAGATCTTAATTATTTAAAGTCTAAAATACGAATGCATTTTTCATCATAGATGAAGCAGGAAACCTGAGACAGTTTAAGAGTTTTTCTTTTCTCATTCTTTCTAGTTGATCCCTAAGAAACTGCTTCTTTTAGGAGAACAAACAGCCCACAGAAGCTTTTCTTCCCTTGGCATTTTTTTTCTTTTTACAGATTTAATTTTTCATAGTGCAAGATAATAAGAAGTCTGTTTTCTCTAGAAGTGCCTTATGTCTGCAGAAAGTTCTTTGAGGGCACCAGAGGAAGCTAATTAGTGACCTCTTTTCACCTCCTTTCTAACTTACCCCCTTCTCTCTACCTCCCGCCCCCTGAAAGCTGAGGTGTGTCACTGCTGAACTGAGGCTGATGAAGAGACTTGAGCACTCTCTGGGACTCTCAGCTGTGACAGAAGCACTGATACTGTCTACTGAAGCAGGTTCTGAAACACTCATGTGCAGTGTTTAACAGGACACCTGCTTGCTGTAGCCAAGTCTGCAGGCATCTTTAATTTCCAAGCCATGAATGAATCCAGGTGGACTGAATGGAGGATCCTGAACATGAGCACTGGCATTGTGAATGTGTCCGAGCATCACTCCTGCCCACTTGGATTTGGTCACTACAGCGTGGTGGATGTCTGCATCTTTGAGACAGTGGTTATTGTGTTGCTGACATTTCTGATTATTGCTGGGAATTTAACAGTTATCTTTGTCTTTCATTGTGCTCCACTGTTACATCATTATACTACCAGCTATTTCATTCAGACAATGGCATATGCTGATCTTTTCGTTGGAGTTAGCTGCTTGGTTCCTACTCTCTCACTTCTCCACTACTCCACAGGTGTCCACGAGTCATTGACTTGCCAGGTTTTTGGATATATCATCTCAGTTCTAAAAAGTGTTTCTATGGCATGTCTTGCTTGCATCAGCGTGGATCGTTATCTTGCAATAACCAAGCCTCTTTCCTACAATCAACTGGTCACCCCTTGTCGCCTGAGAATTTGCATTATTTTGATCTGGATCTACTCCTGCCTAATTTTCTTGCCTTCCTTTTTTGGCTGGGGGAAACCTGGTTACCATGGTGACATTTTTGAATGGTGTGCCACCTCTTGGCTCACCAGTGCCTATTTTACTGGCTTTATTGTTTGTTTACTTTATGCTCCTGCTGCCTTTGTTGTCTGCTTCACTTACTTCCACATTTTCAAAATTTGCCGTCAGCACACCAAAGAGATAAATGACCGAAGAGCCCGATTCCCTAGTCATGAGGTAGATTCTTCTAGAGAGACTGGACACAGCCCTGACCGACGCTACGCCATGGTTTTGTTTAGGATAACCAGTGTATTTTATATGCTGTGGCTCCCCTATATCATCTACTTTCTTCTAGAAAGCTCCCGGATCTTGGACAATCCAACGCTGTCCTTCTTAACAACGTGGCTTGCAATAAGTAATAGTTTTTGTAACTGTGTAATATACAGCCTGTCCAACAGTGTTTTCCGGCTAGGCCTCCGAAGACTGTCTGAGACAATGTGTACATCCTGTATGTGTGTGAAGGATCAGGAAGCACAAGACCCTAAACCTAGGAAACGGGCTAATTCTTGCTCCATTTGAAGAAATCTATAGTAAATCAAATGTAATCTGACAGTGGTTTTGGATCATATTCTGGATTCATCTGGAAATTTGCCACCAGAGAAATATTTACTTGAATAGTTGACTATAAAATGAAGTATGAGACTAAAGGTTTTTTTTTTTTTTTCATGTAAGAAGCTAAAGGGAGGGATGTATAGAGGGTTATATCATGAAATAATTGTAGCATGTAATTATTATGTGCAGTAATAGAAAAAATAAGCACTGAGATGAAAAAAAGTCTCAAATCTTCTGCAGGACATGAGCAAGCCCCTCAGCTTGGTGTTTCTTTCTGTCTGACTGTACCCTGCCTCTGTCTTTGTTTCTCATTTTATCTTTCTGTGTTTCTCTCACTCTTTGTGGAAGTTATTACTTACATCAATTGCCCTATGTAGAAAAAAGCTACATATTATATATGTGGCAAAGTATAATCTTTTGCATCAAAGTGTACTTTTAATCACACTAATCTACAATCCATAAGTGGTCTCTTCGTGGAGGATGTAAAGTAAGCATTGCATTTTATTACTTGCCAAACAACTCCTTTGTTTGTGTTTTTATACTCTGCAGTCGTTTTTCTGCTACAAACAAATAGAAACTGGATTTTTGTTTCTTCTGGGTAAAACGACATTTGCTTTTCCCCCTTTTCCTAACAATCTCCTGTTTTTTTCTTTTTTTTGTCTCCTTTTCTTGATCTGCATCCATTGGTACCTTACTTCAGAAGTGTCTTAGCTAATGAAAGAATTTACTGTATAAAGCATCCATAATGTTAAATAATTTATTTCTTCCAGAAAAGCAATCTGGTAGCTTATTAAATATTTTTAATGGCTTTTGGAAACATTTTTATCTGGTTCCTTTTAAATTAGTTTGTGTGCTTAAAAGTGATTTTTTTTTTTTTTGCTATAGTAAAGCTTTGTTTTTCTTTAAGAAAACCCACTGGTAATTCTAATGCTGATACAGGATACTCATACTCATCCAGCAGTGAGGTATTACTCTGAAGAGTATTTAGAATGTCCTTTTAAAAAATAAATAAAATAAAACATGAACCTTTTTGTGTTAGTTCTACGATAGCTTACTGTGGTGTCCACTAGTCAGTCATTTGCGTGATATGTGTTTGCACATATTATATTTTTTACAGCAAAGAAAATGTAAATTATGTTATCTGTGCCTAATGTTTTCTTAGCAAAATATATAGATCAATGTTGTTTAAGTTGTCAACATTGGAAAAAGTATATACAAAAACTTATTTTAAGAAAAAAATACTTTTGTGTAATTGTTAGATATTTATATTAGACGAAGCTGCATTTTTAGTGCTGCTGAGAATATAATATACTTAATTATCAAATACAGGTAAGAGCTGTCAGTATTTTCTTTTGTAATGATCTGTTTTCAGATGCAGAGATTAACTTATTTTTTTGCGTGCTACATGAGATTGTGTAATAAATTGTCAGGGGTTTAGATGTAGCAAAGTAGCATTTGAGGAATTAGTGAAGCAGGTATGAACAGTAAAACATCTAAACATTACTTTTTTACCATCAGTTTCTTGCCTGAAAGATATTTTAAAATTTATATCAAACTACTGAATATTTTTCTTCTCAGCATTTTTTATTTCTTTGTTTTATGAAATGCATTTAATAAAATGTGCCTATGACTCTTCAAATTAGAAGCCAACCATGTTTGCACCTTGGTGGTTTGGCTTCAAAGGTCTTTTAGTAGAAATGTTGTCATTTTATTGAGGTTGTTCTGAACCCCTGTATATTTTTAAACATGTAAGAAGGTTAAAAATAAAGAATAAAATAATATTCTATATATCAAAATCAGACTTTGCCTTGATTTAATAAAACACTTAGGACAAGAGCTTACTTTTTTGGGAATCAAAATCTAATTGTTTTATACTGTAGTTGGGTTTATATTTGTTCTTGTCCCCTGTTTGCCAGTGGCATCTTGGTTTAAGGGTGCCTTTTAAGTTCAGACCAGTTCAAGGAAAACATAAAGTTCATGGAAATATAGTGCTGTTAACATTTCAGATATGATATATAAGATCTTCAAAATTATATGTATTATTTGGGAATCATATTTTTATTTCCTTAGTTTAGGGTGTAAATATAGTTAGAAAAGACCCAGTGGATTCTGTGTACAGAAAGCCTGAGGCCATGCTTACTGCATTTTCCCCTTCTGGCTTTTCCCCATAATAAGTAACAACAGTTATTTGCCAGGCTCACTGTTGAGTTTTACATGTGTTATACATTTAATCCTCACTACAGCCTTTTGAGATAATAGTTATTATTCCTGCTCCAGAGATAAGGAAACAAAAAAAAGTGATTATTTGTCAGTTAACTAGTCAATGGCAGAGATTCCCACCCACCGAGTAGGCCTGGGCCAAAGCCTGCCAACTTTGCCAGTAGGCTGCCCTGCTTTCATTTCAAAAGGCTTTAAACCTTTGTACCTCTGTCTGTATCTTTTCCCTACAATATTTCTCTGGGTTTTATTTCTCTTTTTTCATCGTCTTTGGCTTGAGTTCTTTTCTTGTCTTGTAATATCTTTTACTTTGCTCTTATAAGTTAGTTTCATTAAAACAGCAATCTGATAAGCTGAAACCAGTTTAGTGTATGTAATCAAACTGAAATTCTTGATATTCGTTAGGTTTACTTTTGTTATTTCCCTTGAATAACTTTTTAAAATCTCTATCAATTTCTTTTTGGAAAAAAATTGTTTTGAAGAGGAAGAGTAGAAAAGAAAGGCTTTATTATAGGCTGAAAGAGGCTGAATGAGGCAAGTTCTAAATTTAGTTTTTTTTGTTTACTATAGTACTTTATATACAATTCTAGAGCAAGCTGCTTAACTTCCTTTTTTTATATTTTAATATGTTTATATAATAAAATAATATTTTGAAACTTCTCTTTTTAGGTAATGTATTTTAAGAATAGGAAGCATAACCATTTTTCTCATCATTATATTGTATTTTGTGATAATTATCCAGTTTGGTTATAAATGACAGCATTCTGTATTCTCTTTCCTAAGGGTTCTATTATTTGCATAGCTGTTTCTAGAGTTATAGAGTGTTACAAAGCTTCATAATTTACACTATTAGTATGTGAAACTTGGGCTGAGATCCAGGCCCTCATAAACTACTTGGCCTTAGGTAAGATACCAAATGCTCCAAAACCTTATTTTTGGTGCTGATTAAAAAATAGTAAGTCAGTGATTGTAGCTCCCTGTTCAGCTGAATTTGAGAACTAAATGGAATTTTGTAGTCTGTGCCCAGCACAGCTCCTGGCACATAAAAAATGTTCAGAATATGGTAGATGCTATTTTATTATCTTTGTGGGTACCTTATTTATTAACATCACAAATTAAAGGTCACCAACCCCAATTCAAACAGAAGTAAATCATGGAGCATTAGGGTTTTCTAAGATAGCATTTCTTTTTGCAAATTTATTTAAACTCAAAATTTGGGTTAAACTCAGCTATTTCAAGTATGTTTTTGAAAGCTTATTTTCCAGAAACAATTATTCATGAAGACTTTGTTTGAGATTAAAGATATCCAGCAAGCTGATGTTGAGATAAGACAGAGGCATGATTCTGAGGTTAACCTACCTCGTTACTTTATTGTGCTAAGTATGCTTAAACATTTTATTCTCATTAGGGAAGTAATCATAGGAAGGATTGTCCAGGGATGGCTTATTATTTGTCTTTGTGCTTTAATTTTCCTCATTGATTAAAATGGAATTTAAGGTATTTTGTCATATATCTATTTCTTTGGAGAAACAATGATTAATAAGCTGATTCGCTCCATAGATTCCATAAATTATGTGAATTTAAAGATAAGTGAAGTTGCCTTAAAGGACTTTTTCTCTTTCCCTCCCCACCCTAAAAGGTAATCATTAGATGTGAAAAAGATACAATTATATGAAAAGTATATGAAAAAGATTGAGCTGTGAGGAATTTGCTGCTGTAACTTTCTAAGCATAGACAGCATCATTATATGTGCAGGTGGGGCCCTGTAGGTACACAGGAGCATGTATGTGTTACTGAATGAATCAGTGCTATACTCTGACATGTAGATTCCAAAAGCTGCTCTTTTCCTTAAGCAGAACTTAACTTTATTTTAGATTAAGAAGGATATGTAGAAAGTGGTACATCTTCTAACCAAATAGATATTGAGGAAAACAACATGGCTAGAATAGAAAAAATTTCTCATTTTATGATTTCTCATACATGGAAGTTTGATTCAGTGCTAGTCTTGCTCTGTATTTTAAAATATTCATAACTTTTTTCAATAAAGTGTTTTTTAAATATTAACATGATATAATTAAGTTTTTCATGACTATTTTGTTTTAATTTTTTACAATGAGCATTTATAAAATTTCTTTTATAATTAGGAAAATTAATGTTTTATTAAAAAGAATGCTGAATATTTAAAAGCAGTTTAACATTTCACAAAACAGCTTATGTTGATATTACAAGTAACACTATCTGATAATGTCTCAATACTGTTTGATAAAGATGGGGTAGTTTTCTGAGTTCTATAATATTTGTTGTTTTATTTAGATTTTTCAGATAAACTTGACAACCGTCTACTTTCAATATTAGATGTTCTTGACTTATTTTTGCTTTAATGTAAACAGTTTGAGGTATTACCTGATGAATCTGAAATGGATCTCAGTCACTGTAGGATTTTAAAATGCATCATTGACGGCACCTGTCTGCATTTTTCACATCTTTAAATGACAAAAGACTGGCCGTGCGTTATGAAATAGGTTCCATCTGGTACGTTACCTGCATTTCCTACATAGGCAGAGTTCTCCAAAGAATGTATTTATAATTTTTTAATGGTAACTTTTATTCTGCTTTTATATATGACTTTCTACAAAGGTGAAGAAAATAACAGTAATAAATTTAGCAGGAGCCTGTTATGTCTCAAATATTTTTTAACGTGAAAGGCACATGATATCGGTACCTTCATTATAATAAATGGAGCCAAATTAGTTTTTGAGATTCTAAAATTCTAAAGTTTAAGGTGATAAATATTAAGAAACATAGTATATAATAGAATTCATGAAATGGAAATAATTTGCAAAAATTTGAAAACTTTCAAAAATGCTACTTAATGCAAAAGAAATACCTATCATTGTCTTAAACCTTTGGCCCCAGTTTTATTTTATTTTCTACTTAAGCAACTGTAAACAAGGTTGATGACAGTTAAAAATGGCAAAATATGTGTTATAAATTAAATTATTATAATTGCAAGCCACAAACAAGGTACAAAGTTATATGAGCTGTTATTTAAAATTTTAATTTATTTTTGAATGAAATGTGGAATGTAGCAAGACATGTGCAATAGTTTTGTTTGAGATTATACATGGCACATGGAATGTTTATGTACATACTCTGTAAAATCTAACTTTAAGATGTTTACTTAAGTTCCCAATAGAGTTTGAAGTTTAGTATAATTATTAGTAGATGACACATTTTTATACAAATAACCTCTTCATAATTATTCATTTACGTTTTTTCAGGAATTTTATAATTAAAAATGCTGAATTGGTAAGAAATTATTGGAAAACACTGCAAATTGAAATTTGGAAATGCTTAAAATGCTTTTGAACATATATAATGCTCTTGACATTATAAACAAGGTGTATTCTAAAAGCTTCTGTGAGTAAATACTATCTCATTTCACATTTAGAAATCTGAGATAAAATTTTTAAGTGACCCTAACAAGATCACGTAGTTTGACAAAGATGCTACTGACCACATGTCTTGTGCGGCAATAATGTTGCGTATGATAAAGTTCTTGAATAATGTATTTATAGATGGCTGGTAATGCAGTGATCTAATCTTTCTTTCTTGAAAATAAAGACTTAATTATTTGATATAGAAAAAATTCTATGTGAAATTTTATCTTTTAACTTGTGAAGTAGGAAGAATTATTTTAAAATTAACTTTATGTTAGAGGTATGATTTTTGAGATCACAGAAATTTTTAATCAGATGTATTATCAGCCCTGATCAGTGTTTTAATATTTCTTAAAACAGTTTTTTATCTGTAGAGGGTAATAAAAAATTTACCTCTCTTTTTTGAAAACACAGCATTCATCTACTGGCTATATTGAGACATGTAGAATGAATTGAACAGTGTTTGCTGTGTATTCTAAAAACTATAACCTTAATGATGAAGACATCGAAATCACATTATATTCATGTACCTACTTTTGGAAAGTACTCATTTCATGGTCATGTACTTTGTGTTTTGAAATTTTTTTGTAACAGATTTGCAATGTTGTTGAGTCATCATAGGTTGAATTTTTCTCAAGCATTATGATGGAAAAGATTTTGATGTTTCAGACAGCAGTGCTTTTGTATGTTTGTAACCTATAAAATATCAGTCAGGGAATCAGTGATTAATTTGAGTTAGTGATATATTAAATAAACCTTTTAAATATGTAATCAGTTTCTTTCAATGAAATAAATGTAGTTACAGAAAAATTAAAGGAACTCAAATTAGGCAAACACAAGATTGCCTTGTAAGTGTCCTTAGAGGAAGCCTTTCTTTAAGTAGTTTCTAGTGTCTGTATCAGTTGAATAAAAATGAGTTCCCCTGAGTTATTTGAAAAGTTTAGTCTCTTAAGTATGTAATATTTACATAACAATTTTATGCTACTTATTATTAATAACTACTTAATTTATGCTACTTATTTAAAGAGTTTGCAAGGTGAATTATTTCAAAGTCCAAATTTGGATTTAAATCTTCATTAACCAGATATTTTTGCATTTTGAATCAACAAATTAGGTCAATAAATATTGATTATGCTATGTGAAGGGCATAAATTGTGGTTCTATAATTGTCCTGGACTCTTAAATCAAGAGTAACTCATTGAATTGTGTGAATTCAACAGCAGGAAGATTAATTTTTAGAATTTGAGGGAGAGATTGCAGCAAAGTCATAGGAACTATGCAATACATTGTAGTATTAGCGGGATTAATGCATTTTAAAATATGAATTGGCTTCAACATTTAGCCATGTGTTTGGATGTTGTAGTTCTAAAGGATACCACAGGCTATTTGACAAGTTATTAAAGTGAAAGGAGAAGAAATGTTCAATGTTGAGATTAGTACAAAAGTGTTGTGAGGAGAAATACACAATAACTTTGGAATGCAGTATGAAAAAAATCCTTCATATGGATTATATCTGATTAGAGTAAAATCATCACTTTAGATATAAATGATAAGCTTTGAGATTGGAACAAGAATATTAACATGGGTAGAAGTAGCTTTAGGGATTACACACAGGACATGTTCTATCAACTTTTTTTAATTTTTGAGAGGGGGTCTCACTCTGTCACGCAGGCTGGAGAGTGCAGTAGAGTGATCTTGGCTCACTGCAATGTCCGACTCCCGGCTTCAAACAATTCTCCTGCCTCAGCCTCCAGAGTAGCTGGGACTACAGGTGTCTGCCACCACACCTGGCTTTTTTTGTATTTTTAGTAGAGACAGGGTTCCACCATGTTGGCCAGGCTGGTCTTGAACTCCTAAACTCAAGTGATCCATCCGCCTTGGTCTTCCAGTGATGGGATTACAGGCATGAGTCACCATACCTGGCTTTAGGCATCTTCTTAGACCACTTTTTCTAGAGTTGTTTTCCTAATATTTGTCTTGTGATTACAATTGAAGATCACTATATGCAGGCTATTATGACAGGCAAGTTTTAACTTTTCTGTCAATCAAGTTAATCATATGATGTAGACCTAATATTTTTTGAATAATAGAATTATTCATTCTTTTATCTAAGTATTTATTAGGTTCTTACTGTGTGCCAGGGACTGTTCTTAATTCTATATAAGATAAGGAGATTTCTAAGTGAAACAGATTTTCAGTTCTCCAAGAGCACTTAGACTACAAGGGCTATGTGAACTTTATATGGATACCTATAAGGCAAGATAGGAGTTGACAAATTACAGTTCGTTGACTATTATAAATACAATTTTATTGGACCATGGCAGCACTCATTCATTTATGTATTGCCCGTGGATGCTTTTGTCCTACAAATGGTAGAGAATAGTTGTGATGGAGATGTTATGCCCTACAAAGCTTACATATTTACTGTCTGGCCTTTTATAGAAAAAAATTTGCTGACCCCTGGTATAAGACATTATATTGCCGTTTATTTGCTACTCACAACAGAATGCTGTGCTTTTATGATTGCTAAAGGATCTCATACGAAGGAGTGATTACTGATTTCAACCTGATTCAGTCAGGCTTCAGGAAAATTTCTAGCATAGGAGTAAAAACCTAGATATTGATTCCCCCTCTGTGATTCCAGTGGCTTGTCAACTGAATACCTGTCTGTAAATGAAACACAGATCTATTTTTTCTCATTAGTTCTTACTATTGTATAGTTAATCTACATTACTTATATTTAGATTTCTCCTACTCAGGTAAAGTTCTTTGCATATCAAACTTAGTGTCTAGTTTCTTTATTTAACTACTAATGTAGCATAATCATATTTTATCTTTAAATATGGAGTCAGTAGTAATTAATATTCGATGTAGTCTTTAAACTTCAGAAGAATTTGTTAAACGTCTCATCAATAAATGATAATCTCATAGTCTAAAAGAGTTAATTTACTTATAAATAAGCATGCCTCTTTTGTAGTACTCTAAAAGGCAATAAAACAAAAAACTAAAGGACAGAAGATCTAGCTGCATAAAAGTAAAACTTACATGCAACTCAAAAAAATATGACAAGAGAATTCATAATTCAACACCAATATATGACATTATTAATAGGCTCTTGGTAATATTTAAGTTAGAAAATAAATTGATATAGTCATACACATGGCTAAGATGTATTGCAGTGCTAGGAGTTTTGTTTTTTTGACATTGTCAACTAATGAATGAAAAACAAAGCAATTTTAAATGAGCTACAATTTATATTTACTCAAAATTAAGCCATTTAAAAAATCTCAATGATTCAGTTAATCACAGGGATATGATACATTTTTATTAATATTTGCCTTGACAGTACTATTGTTTTAAACTATTAATAATCCACTGGGAAGTTTTGGTTTTCTTGTTTAGTAAATCAGTAAGAAAATGAATATGTGTTCTTGATGTTTTTCTTGAAAATACAGTTCACTGAGTCTGTTAGAATAAAAGGAAACACTTACACACTTGTCCCTTATTATCTCTGTGGGATTGGTTCCAGGATGCCCCAAGGATACCAAAATCCAGAGGTGCTAAAATGCCTTGTCTAAAATCATATACTATAGCCTACACACACCCTCCCATATACTTTAAATTATCTCTAGATTACTTATAATACCTAATAAAATGTAAATGTAGTATAACTAGTATTGTTTAGGGAATAGTGACAAGAAATGTACAAGTACATTTCAAGTACATGTATAAGTCTGTATATGTTGAATACAGATGCAGCCATCCATTTTTTCCCCTGAATATTTTCAAGCAGTGGATGGTTGAATTGATGGAGGTGAAACCTATGAATAATGTAAGACTGACTGTATGTTGCTTTTATGCCTTCAGTACTGTTTAAAGTCACTGAGGTAGTAGGGCCATCATTGGAACCCAGATACTCAGAGTGAGTACCTTAATAATGTTTATCGTATGTTTTCCCTAAACAAATGAATAGGATAATTTCATGTAAAATTGTATTTTAAAAGATTGTAAATGGTCAGATTTCCATTAGTTTGATTATGAGAGAAAGATTTCAGAGAATCATTAGGTCCTTCTGCCTTCTTCAGAAGAGTCAATGGACTGGAGGGTCTTAAGAGAAGACCTCAAGGATGTCTTATAGAGATAATTTGAGTGGCAAGGTATTGTTTCCACTTTTTTATATTCCCACCAACTTGCCCTTCCACAATTGGCACCTTTTAACTTCTGACAATGTCGTAAAAGGATGAATTATGGCAAATCACTATAAACCTATCTCAAATACTTCTAATTGTCATCCCTTCCACATAATTAACTTTGTTTTTCCTCCTCATTCATTTTAGTTATTTTTAATTTTCAAAGAAATAATGCTCATGAAGGAAATTTAGGGAATGTTAAAATGTTAAAAAAAGGGACTAAATTATTTATAGTTTTCTTACCCAGATATAATTAGCTGTGATAATGACAAGTCTTGATTTTGGTTTTCTTTTCTTCCATTTCCCTTCTATGGATTAGGGCTTTTTGTAAAGGATTTTTAAATGTAGGTATTTATAACTTAAACATTTTTTTATATTATCATATATTGTTTATGAACATTTTTGTAAGTAAAGCTTTTCCCACATTTAGTATTATTTTCTTACAACTTTTAAGGAAGAGATACTGAAGCAAACAGAATAAAGGTATTTTAAGACTATTTATGTATATTGCCAAATTACTTTCCCAAAGGAGTTATCCAGTTTATCTTCACACCAATAATGTATCAAACTATGATGATTCATCGCAGGCTTGCTAGCAGCAATTCTACAGTAATAAATCAATTAACGGAATTTGATTTTTCACTTTTTTCCCAGCCCCTTTAGGAAATTTGTTTAGTTCTTTGTGATATTTTTCCTTTCTTACACTAAGACAGACAAGACAGACAGACGGACGGATATATTAACTAGGATGGCTCTGCAGAGCCTCTTTTAAACCAAATTGTCTCAGACTCTTTATTTCAGAAGTCTTTAAGCTCAGATCATCTTCTCACTATTATTAGCTCACCATTTACTCTGTGCTGCTGTTGCTTTGTTGTTTAAGGCCATGCATTATTTTAAGAACATTGAATTCTGTCAATGCTGTTCTCCCATTGTTACTGCTATCATCAGCATTGCCTATTTCATTGTATCTTGCGTTTGCCACACAGCCACCTATGTATTGGGTTTGAGAAAACCTTCAAAAATGTTTTCTATTATATTTTTCTGCCTTTGTTGCAGTGGTATCTCTACTGAATTTTCAAGGTAGGGAAAGATATTTTCCTAAGCAGAAAATTTAGAGGCCTGTGTCCTTGGAGAGTTTATGAATATCAAGATTTCAGTAGTTGAGCACTGACCCCAGGCCTCTTATTGATACTTAGGATTTCCCTAACCTGGAGAACCATGGGAACAGTATCCATAGTGGTAGAGGCTGTGGCAAGCGAATTAGTTTTCACATTGGAGAGGTCACAGCTGGTGTGGTTGTCTAACAAGCAAACATGCTTGCAGGTCTCTACTGTTTCTCCTCATTATGTCTTTTGCATCTCTCTGGTACCTCAGAGTGCTTTGTATATAGTGGCTCAATTATTTCTTGAGCCAAGTACAGAGTACTATGTATATAGTAAGTCATCTATTTCTTGAGCCAAATGAATTTAATTGTCAGGGTTAACAGTATTTCTTGGGTCTCTTCTAGTAGTTCTTTCCCCTCTAACTCACTTGAGGGTATGGTTGGACTGAAGATTACTTCAAGATTCTTGTCCCCAGTGCCTTGCTATTACTGACTGGGGAAGCTAGGGAAAAGAATATTTAAGGAGAGTTGAATGATTATTTAATATACCTATCATTTAATATAGCTTTCCACTTTAACGTTGAGTGGACTTACAGGCTCTTCCTGAACATGTGTGTGTCTTAAAGGGGGGTGAATATACTTTGGGGTAGCTCAGGCTTTTTAGATAATGTTTATTTATATTAAGCTGAAATGAATATGTTTTTGGCTTATTCCCATTGTGATTATATAGGAAAAATGAGAATTTTTGTTTTACCCAACAACCTTCTGTATACCTTAGTAGAACCATTGTTTCTGTCCAGGCTTCTCTTGGTCTTGAACCATTCTCGTAAAGTATGGTTTTGAAGCTCATCACCAACTTTTCCCTGAATATGCTCTAATAATACTTCTTTTAATGGTGCTCAGAGCTGAATAAAATATTATGTGTTTGATATGACCAGGAACAAATGAGAGTGAGAGTATCATTTTCCCTTGGGTTATATACTATTCTGCTATTTATTCAGGCCAGAAATTAATTATATGTTTTTGGTAGTTATATTTTATCCTTTAATATATTGAGGTTTTTAAAAATAAATCCATATGTCCTTTTTACATATGCTTAATTTATATTCCTTCTCCATATATATACAATGGTTTTTGTTTTTTTAAAGAAATTTTACATTGTTACCTCCCTTCAACTTCATCTTGTTAGAGTTGGCTCAATTTTTCCAGCATTTCTGAAACCTTTTTTCCATTTCTAATACAGTCATGAAACTTTTGACTTCTGCAAATATGATATACTTTCTTTTCAACTTTTAGGTTCAGGGGCTACATGTGCAAGTTTATTACTTAAGGAAATTTCATGACACTGAGCTTTGGGGTAGGAATGATCCCATCAGCCAGGTAGTAAGCGTAGCACCCAGTAGGCACATTTCAACCCTCATTCCCCTCCCTCCTCCCTCTAGTGGTCCCTCCCCAGTGTCTGTTGTTCTAATCTTTTTTTTTTTTTTTGAGATGGAGTCTCACTCTGTTGCCCAGGCTGGAGTGCAGTGGTGTGATCTTGGCTCGCTGCAACCTTCGCCTCCTGGGTTCAAGCAATTCTTCTGCCTCAGCCTCCCAAGTAGCTGGGACTACAGGCGTGCACCACCATCCCTGGCTATTTTTTTGTATTTTTAGTAGAGACAGTTTTTGCCATATTGGCCAGGGTAGTCTGGAATTCCTGACTTCGTGGTCCTCCTGCCCCAGCCTCCCAAAGTGCTGGGATTACAGGTGTGTGCCACCGCACCCATCCTGTTTTTCTAATCTTTATATTCACATGTACCAATGTTTAGCTCTCACTTATAAGAGAAAACATGTAATATTTGGTTTTCTCCTCCTGAGTTAATTTGCTTCTAGCTACCTCTGTATGAACAGATAACAAAAGACATACATGTAGCCAACAAAGATATGAAAAAATACTCATTCTCTACATATCATTAGAGAAATGCAAATCAAAACCACAGTACCAGTCAGAATGACTACTACTAAAAAGTAAAAAACAAGTAACAGATATTGGTGAGGTTGCAGAGTTAAGGGAACACTTACATACTGTTAGTGTTTATTTTATAATCATTTGATATAATCCAGATACTTGAATTTGTCAGATGAGAGGATTTTATTTTCTAAGCTTATACTATATATTGGATTATAAATTTTTTAAAGTCCTTCTGTTTACCTATTTAGCAACCAAAGTATAATTCAATTTATGATTACTTGACAACATTTACTATGAGAAATGTTACCATTTGTATTCCATAACTACACTTAAAATATAGAAAAATTGTAATACAGATACCTTTGGCATTTGGGACATATTTTACAGAGAGATTTTCAAGAATGCCTTTTAGTGGAGATTTGTAAAATGAAAGATTATAATCTTTGGGTTTTTATTTAAGTGCAGTTCTGCCCAAGGACAAATGAATAAATAGATGACTTTTCTAAATAATCCTTATAGAGTAATAATTTTGTGATGCTTTCCCCATCCTTGATTCATTGTTCTCCTTACTTGCACAGAAAGCCCATCTACTCTCAGGGATTAAACTATCATCCTTTTGCTAAGTTTTCCAAAATAGAACTTTCCAAATCTAGCCTTGTACCTTTTTTTCAGGCACATGTAGTATGCTGCCTTCAATGAGCCTTCTTATTCTGGATTTTTCATAAAAATTGAACAATTTCAAAGAAAAATCATTATTACCAATTCTTATTACTTATACTGCTAATCTCTTTTTCTTTTTGTTGTTGTTAATGTCATTGGTTCCATTGCCTTCTTATATTTTCACTTAATAGCCCTGTCTGTTTAATAAATGTTCATTAAAAAAAATGACTGTCTGGACATTTTCTTCTCCCTTAATCATTATTTCATTCAGAATCCAGCTTGTACAATTCATTCTTTGCTGTCTTTTAAGAAACCTTCTCTGGGTAACCAGATCACTTTTTTTTTTTTTCGTTTCTTCCATAGACAGATCACCTTTAAAAAAAATCTTTATGTAAAGTTTTATTATATTCTCTATATAGTTTTATTCTCTGTGTGTTTTGAATCATAGGAACTTTAGGTTAACTGATACTTATGGGTACAGCTTCCCTATGGCTAAAAATCCTTTCATAACTAGTAAGGTAGCCTCTTCAATTATTATAAGTTCTTTGACTTAGAAGATATTTCCTAATTATGAGCCCCAAAATCTTCTTTCTTGAAATGTCCACCATTTGATCCTATGTCGTATCTCTGTAGAAACACAGAAACAGGTCTCCCTTTATGATGTAGTTCTTCTGGCATGTGAAAGTTACTGTTATATCTTCCTTCTCAGATTGAACATCTTTATTTCTTTAACACATTACTAATTCATTCAGAAAATATTTATTGAGTATCTTTTTCTTTTTTTGAGACGGAGTCTCGCTCTGTCACCCAGGCTAGGGTGCAATGGCACGATCTTGGCTCACTCTGACCTCCGCCTCCCAGGTTTGAGCAATTCTCCTGCCTTAGCCTCCTGAGTAGTTGGGACTACAGGCGTGCACCACCACACTGGGCTAATTTTTTACTTTTAGTAGAGATGGGGTTTCACCATGTTGGCCAGGCTGTTCTCAAGCTCCTGATCTCTGGTGATCTGCCCACCTCCGCCTTGCAAAGATTACAGGCATGAGCCTCTGTGCCTGGCCTGTTGAGCATCTTTTATGTACAAGTCACTGTTTAGGTATTTGGAATATGGTGAACAGGAATGATAAACTCTTTTCTCATAGAGTTTACATCCAAATAGAGATAAAAACTATTCCAGATTAAGATGTCAGCAAGTAAAAAAATAAGATAATTTTAGATTATTATTAATGCCATGAAAAGAATAGAACGGGATATTAGGGATATTAGGATAGAGAGGTGATAGAGATGGGAGGCAACTTCCCCATGAACTTTGGTTTACAAATATTTCATCATTTTCGTTGCCTTCCACCAAAACAACATGCATGGACTTGGCACTTTTCACATTCTTATGGTGAAAGACTTCTGATCTGCTAATGTCCTTTATGTACATAGGAAAGTATGGCACTTCTTAGTTATGTGGGAGATGAAGCTGTCTGAACTACCATGTCAGTGAGGGAACTATTAAAGAAGATTAGAAAATTTAGACCTTTTGCGGTTATTGTTAGACGGAGTGTTCTCTTGCTCAGTGTGCTCTTCTTACAGTGGGACGAGTAGTTGCCATATTTGGACAATGTGCTGCCCTTAGTGCAGCTCCACATGTAATTAGCTGTCCCAACAGCAGGTCACCCTAGCTTTGTAGTGAACTTTTTAGGTCTAGATCTCACCTGTTTGGCACTTGAATATAGTTGCAGGGCTTTGCAGTTACTCCTTACTTAGCCCTTCCTTCTACTTTTATGTGATCTTTTCTAATTTTTTTTATAGATTTGGAAAGTGTACCTTCTCTATTGTCTTTAAAGTCAGCAAAATGATGTAAGCAGAAGAGTACCTGGGCAGAACTTAGCAAGAAGCTTTCTTCTAAATTGATTTTTCTTTATTTAATTAGCACATTTTGAGTAAGGCCATATGTCTACCTCAAACTCTACTTAAATGTGTTAATATCTAGTTCCCATTTTTTCCCTTTTATTTCAAATATTTTATGAAATGTTTGCCAAAGAGAGTGAAGCATAGACCAAGCCTGATGGCTTGCGCCTATAATCCCAGCACTCTGGGAGGCCGAGGTGGGTGGATCACTTGAGGTCAGGAGTTTGAGACCATCCTGGGCAACATGGTGAAACCTTATCTCTACTAAAATTGGAAAAACTAGCCAGGCATGGTGGCACATGCTTGTAATCCCAGCTTCTCTGGAAGCTGAGGTAGGAGAATCACTTTAACCTGGAAGACGGAGGTTGCAATGAGCTGAGATCGCACCACTGCACTCCAGCCTAGGCAACAGAGTGAAATGCCCTCTCAAAAAAAAAAAAAAAAAAAAAAAAAAAGGGCGGGGATGTGGGAGAGTGGGGAGTATGAAGCATAATGGTTAATGGTTTAGCCTGTCTTCTAGAGTCAAACTGAAATGTTGTATTTTGTCACTTGTTATCTGTGTAATACTGGGCATGTTACCTAACCTCTCTGACTGTTGGTTTCCTGATAACTGTATTGTCTTTGTAGGGGTATGTGAGATAATGATATATAAATCACCCATCACAGTGTCTGGCATATAAAAAAGTCCAATAAATGTTAGCAATAGCAGCTGCAGTCATTGTTGTTCCTGGCCCACAGAAATTAAATATAGTCTATTTTGGGCTTTCCAGATCTAACAACCCTTTAAATGCATGTGCGCACACATAAATATATACACAGCTAGTTTTCTGCCACTTATTCTTAGGAATGGACACAGTAAAAACATCTTTATTTTTTAAGTTTTATATGCCATCTGTCTAGAATTTTACTAAATGAAGCATCAATGTTACCATCTCTGAAATCCATATGTTCTTATTGAAAGCTTAAAATTTGTCTTCTCTCTAGTCATTTATCATCTTTTCAGGGGTCTACACTTTCTCATAATAATTCTACCAAATCAAGTAGGTTTGGCAGAGGTTGCAGTGAGTCGGGATTGTGCCACTGCACTCCAGCCTGGGCAATAGAGAGAGACTCCATCTCAAAAAAAAAAAAAAGAAAAGAAAAGAAAAAATAGTATTAATTTTATATTTGATATTTCTTTGTATGAGCCTTGTTAAAAATAAGACATGGGCATGGGAGGCTGAAAATAAATTTGACAGTTACCTGGGTATTTTTTTACTTAACCATGATTCTCAGGTCTTTGTCAGACAAAGAGTAAAATTGTCTCTACCAGGGAAGAGAAGTAACATTTTTACTAAATAAATATAGAAGTAACTACTAATAAATACTAAATAACAGAGCTACTGTGTGACAAGTACTGTAAATATCTATTGTACATTCATATCATATAATATGTTTAACCCTTTTAGCAACTCCATTTCACAGGTGAGAAAATTGAGCATCAATATTTAAATATTGTGGTCATCACACTCCTACTAAGTGGCAGAATCTATAGAATTTGAATCCAGTTTTGTCTGACACCAAAACCATGTCCTTTCTACCTAATATTTGCTACCTACCCTACTATTTGGCAGTTAACATTATAGTGACATGTATATTAAAATGGAACTAATAAAGAGAAGCTAATAACAGGTTCTTTTATTGCTACAGAAGATATTTCTAGAGTCAGAGAATTGATGAGGATCCATGAGTAAATTTTCCTCAATAAGGAAACATTAGCATTTTAGAAATATGATAAAACCATGAAATCTTAGAGTTGGAAGAAACCTTTTGGCTTATGAGGTTTGTTTTCTGGACACATAGCAATTATATATATGGGATTATATTATAAAGAATTAATAGGCTGGGCACGGTGGCTCATGCCTGTAATCCAGCACTTTGGGAAGCCAAGGTGGGCAGATCACCTGAGGTCACGGGTTCAAGACGAGCCTGGCCAACATGGTGAAACCCCATCTCTACTGAAAATATTTTAAAAATCAGTTGGGCATGGTAGTAGGCATATGACTGTGTGGACACATATTTCTGTGTAATATGAAAGAGTGAATTTCAAATAGTGGTTAATTTCTTAGACTAATACTGAGTATTATTACCCTAAAGACAAAAAAGTTTAAACCCGGAAAAGAAATCATAGACATTACCTCTCTCTCTCTCTCTCTCTCTCTCTCTCACTTTCTCTTTCTGTGTGTGTGTGTCTGTCTGTCTATCTGCAAAATCATTCAAGTTTCTTCTGCTTACAACAGTAAGTTCCATGGGGGCAGGGAATTTGTCACATTCCCCACTGTATTTCTACCACCTAGCGCAGGATGCCATAGATGGTAGATGTTAAGTAAATATTTGGGGGCAGACTATCTTGGCTTTGCAGATAAGTGTTGTACTAAAAATGAGGGGAATATTTTTTCTTTTGAGTAGATTATACTGCTAATCATTTCAGACTTTTGCTTAAATATTTGAGTTTGTTTTTTTCCCTCTCTGAACTTCTAGATGCCATTAGCAAAATGTTTCATACAAAAGTTAATAATGATGTTTATCTTTGTGGTAAGTATACGCTAGTGTGTATTTATGTTCCTGTCTTTTTATCTAGTAATAGAAAAGTGCAGCTGTTACCATATTTTGTCTCTCATCAATTGCTAACGGTTAGGTAAGTGTTACTTTAACTTGTAGTCCCAGATAGGTTTAAATCTTTGTGCTTATATATAATTGTTTATGAATATATTGCTGATAAGGGAAATTATTGTGGTTATCAAGTGTCAGAAAATTTCATGTTTTTGCCTGTATCTTTCTGGTAACAAGGCCACTACTTTCTGTTAAATCAGGTATTTTCTGTGATGTGAATTAATCCTTTAAGCCACTAATCGAACATTTCTCAGAAGTGTAAACTATGGACAGTTTACATCAGATTCACTGGTAGTGCTTATTAAAATTACAGATTTTTACCAACTACCTTAGTCCCCCTAAATCAGAATATCTGGAATGTGGGTCTCTGAATTTGTGACAAGCTCTGCAGGTGATTTATCTGCACTCAGAAGTTTGAGAATCGTAGTATGAAACTTTCCTGGAAGTGTCTTGCCCTGGGGAGGGTCTCTATCCTGGAAGCTCTACAGAAAGAATCCCTCACTATAAGCTCTCTGCCCATTTAAATTCTAAAGTAGTTAGTCTTAAGACACTGATTGTGTCAATTTGAATTATGACCAAATGTACATTGTTTCCAAAAGCTGTTGGGCTGGAGCAAAACAGGAATATCAGAATTGCTCACTGGACCAATACTGAAAGGAGACAAAATTGCATTCAGTTCCAGTTCCTGACAACATCCCAGGAAATGTCTCAGCTGCCTGCATTGGGGATTGTCACTGCCAAAAAGGCTTCATCCCATTAAAGACAAGTGGGAAGCTAGGTATTCTAGAACTGAGCTGACTGGAGAAAAAAAATAAAGTTCTACTTTTTCCAGGTCTCCAAGAACACAGCTTTCTGTGGTACTATGAGAATTTCAGCCTAAAAATTCCTTGTATGTGAGATCTTGACTATATAATCAAATCTTCTCTACAGCTATGACCCATCTTGAATATTTTACCACTTGCACAGGGCTCCTACTGCATTTGGCAGGATACCAAATGCATCTCCCCATCTCAGAGTAGATGTCATTCCATGTATTGATCCATCTTTTTCTCACTTCTCTATCATCAGCTGTAAACTGATTTTGAATTTCAGGGTTTAAATCAGGAACCCTTACTTTCTAGTCCCTCAAAAGGCAGTTTAGAAAAAAAAATAATTTTACATATGTACAGTCTATGTAAATTTGTTTGTATCAGAGAAGTGGTAATACTACCTTTTATATACAAAGATTGTGATACTGAGTTACATTTCCAGAAGTAATGATGAATTTTTATTCATGCATCTATGTTGTAATCTCTGGCCTTCCTTGAATTCAGGGGCATTCTAAAATACAGTGTTTTGGTCAGTCATAGTGGCTCATGCCTGTAATCCCAGCACTTTGGGAAGCCAAGGCAGGTAGATCACCTGAGGCCAGGAGTTCGAGACCAGTCTGACCAATATGGTGAAACCCCCTGTCTATTAAAAGTACAAAAATTAGCTGGGTGTGGTGGATGCCTGTAGTCCCAGCTACGTGGGAGGCAGAGGCAGAAGAATAGGTTGAACGTGGGAGTCGAAGGTTGCAGTGAGCCTAGATGGCTGCATTGCACTCCAGCCAGGGTGGACAGAGCAAGATTTTGCCTGTCTGAAAAAAATTTTAAAAATCAAAATAAAAAATAAAATAACAGTGTTTAGTTAGGGAATAGAGCATACCAGTTAATTTATACTTAGATTAAATCCATGACTTCACTGGCATTGTGCTCTAGGCAAATTAACTAGTCTCAGAAGTTTTATTTTGCCTCTGTGTTTGTCTCATTTTCTTAGTCAAGAATTAAGAGTACTGACATCATATATTAAACTTTTTTGTATCCCCTGGGGTAACTAATTAGCATGGTGGCATATATATAGCAGGTATTTATAAAGAAAACACTTGGATTTATTGATGTTAATTATGTTTCAATACAAGAGCAGTTCAGCTACTTTGCATGGATTTCTTTGGGAAGGATTTACTATGATTTCTATTTATATATTCTTGTATGTTGTTTTTGTGTTTGAGTTCATACTTAGCACTTACCCATCTTCTTCCTGGAGCTTCCTTTTGAGTGAATGTGATTATTGCATTAATGGTATATTAATTGTTTTGAAGAATTAGTATTTCTTTCTAATTCAAGCCTATGATGTGACTCAGGCTGGTGATGCAATGATGATATTAAGACAATGTTCATCCTCTTCAACAGGGAAAGTAAAACTATTCAACTTGCTTTTGAATACCCAGTATAACTGTTAGTGAGCAATTTTTTTAGGAAGGAAATAGTCTCTTTATATATTGCAAATTTTGCCATATTAAACAAAATCTTAGAAAAGTCGGTATTTATCAGAATTTAATACTAGGAAATTGTTTCAAAAAGGACTTGAACATATCCAAATCAGAGCTAAATACTATCACAAATAGCTCTAATTTTTTCACCTTCAAGCAAGCCACATTCGGGTATCAGCTGCTGGTTCTGTGGTAAGCAGGTAAAGTAGTTGTTCTGTATACTGTATGTGTTGGAGACCCCTCCTTGGTGGGCATTGAAACAGTGGAAACTCATAATGATTGCAGTCTCTTAAGAAGCTTACTTAATCCGGCTGCAGAGTGCAGAATTTATTACAGGAGTCAGACCAGACAGGAGACTGTAATGGACTAAATGTATGTGTGTCCACCCACTCCTGGCATTCATATATTGAAACCATAATCCCCAATGTGACTATATTTGGAAACAGGGCCTGGAGGTGATATAGGTTACATGGGGTCATAAGTGTGGGGCCTTAATTGGATAGGCCTGGTTCCATTATAAGAAGAGAAAGAGACATCAGAGCTCTCTTTCTCTACAATGTGAAGACACAGTGGAGAAGTGTGTAATGCATACTGTATATAAGTCACCATGCTAGAGAAAGTGGCCATCTGTAAGCCAGGAAGATCCTCACTAGGAACCGAATCAGCCAGCACCTTGATCTCGGACTTCCCAGCTTCGAGAACTGTGAGAAATAAATTTCTCTTGTTTAAGATACCCAGCTGTATGTTTTTGTGGCAGCCAGGGCAGATTGGGACTGAGAGAACACTGTCATAATCTAAGCTTGAGGTGGTAAGGAGAGTGGCATCAGAAAAGACACCAATGAGACGGGTATGGTGGGAAAGGAAAGAAGGTGGTATAGGAGTTCATGGGACCTAGTGGCTGACAGCATGTGGGGAGAAAGGATAATGTATATTATCTGTATTTCCCAAAGTGGGGAAAAGTTTTGTAAGTGTAATCCTGTTGAGGGTTCAGCCTTCCAGGCCCCCAGGTTTGGTGATTTGCCAGAAGGATTGACAGGACTCAGCATATAGTCCTCATTGCTGCATTTATTACAGTGAAAAGATACGAAGCAAAATCAGTAAAGGGAAACGGCACATGGGCAAAGTCTGGAGGAAACCAGGCACACACTTCCTAATCTTCTCCCAGTTGAGTTGCACAGGATGAGCTTAATTACTCCAGAATCAAGTTGTGAAAGTATGGTAAAGTGTTATGTGCCAGAGAAGCTTGCCTGAGCCTCAGAGTTCAGGGTTTTTCCAAGGGCCCATCACATAGACACCCTTTGCCTAGAATGTACCAAAATTTCAGACTCTCAGAAGGAGTTTAACATGAATCACATTGTTTGCACAATGGTTTAGGTACAATAAACCACACTTATCAGGGAATAATGGCAACTCTGCTGAAATTCAGGTTCCCAGATGCCAGCAAAGGGCCAACCTTTCAAGCATTTCATTCTTTTTTTTTTTTTTTTTTGAGACGGAGTTTCGCTCTTGTTACCCAGGCTGGAGTGCAATGGTGCGATCTCGGCTCACCGCAACCTCCGCCTCCTGGGTTCAGGCAATTCTCCTGCCTCAGCCTCCTGAGTAGCTGGGATTACAGGCACACGCCACCATGCCCAGCTAACTTTTTGTATTTTTAGTAGAGACGGGGTTTCACCATGTTGACCAGGATGGTCTCGATCTCTTGACCTCGTGATCCACCCGCCTCGGCCTCCCAAAGTGCTGGGATTACAGGCGTGAGCCACCACACCTGGCCTCAAACATTTCATTCTAAGTGTAGTGGTCGCAGACCTGCAATGTTAACTGTTTTTTGCACAGTAATATTTTAAACTCGAGAGGGAACATTACGTATATGTCACTCTGTTTTTCTTAATGAAGGTTATGCATAATAGAAAAACATTTTAACCATAATTATTGTCTTCGGTTGGCCACATGAAAGGATATTCTTGAGAAGCATTAGGAAGAAAAAACAACTCTGAATACAATGAAATGTCGCCATGCCTTTAAAGTCAACCATGGAACAGTATTTTAGGTTATATTCTTCTATAGAGTAAGAGTTATTTATACACTATCTTTAGTAATAAATACTTAGGTCAAAGAGTAAGATGTCTGTGCTGAAAGCACCATCTCTTGATGACATAGGATCTCTGTAAACCCTGCTGGTGTGCAGAATTCCTCATATGTCAGGTGCACAATCCCAAAGCTTTCCCACTTTGTACTGCAGGTGCAAAGAGATTTTTAAAGCAGCATCTTCTTTTCTTGATTTTCATATAGCATCTACTGCCCAGAGCACTGGGTGAGTCTCAGAAGTGGGCAGTAGAAAGTGTAGGCTCAAGAACTTCCAGAAAACAGGATGCTCTGACAGTATTTTCCTTTCCAGTATGGCCCTTTCTTTCCTTACAATGTTACCTCAGAGCTTTCTCTTGCTAGTTAATAGAAAGATAGTTTTGGAGCAGACCACAAATTCCGAGGTATGGTTTGAGGTAAACATAATTTGGCACATATAATTACATTATGTTAAACTTTAAAAGTTTTCAAACTTTCATTTAGTGCCAACAAAATCTCCTCTAGAATCTACATATATAAAACATGAAACAGCTGAGCTGCTCAGTAGGTTGAGTTGAAGCAGGCTGAGGAGTCCTGCAGTCATCCACCCCTAAAGCTCCTGTAGAGAAAGTTAAAAGTTCTTGGAGATTGCTGCTCCCCTGTAACTCTGTTGTATTAGAGAGGAGAAAATGAGTGATCAGGAAATTAATCTATATCCATTAGTTCTTTCCAGTCCTTACAAACCCTTTTCTAGACCTTCTTTGACTAACTCCATTTTCTCCTGTAGCTGTTCCTGTAACATTTTATATGAACATAGTGCTTATCATTTTGTTTTATACATAAATGTTTATGCTGTCTCCCCCGGAGTCCCTAACCTCAGTCTATTTTCTAAGATTAATTTTAGATCCTCAGTGCTTAGTGTAATCCTAGTATATAGTAGGTAGTTAATAAGCACAGCATTAAAATGAATAAATTTAGTCAATACTTTCCTTGGAAATCATTTATTCAATTTGTAGTATCATTTTGCATTTTTGATGTTATAATTTCTAATGGTTCTCTTGTTAATTTCTGAGATCATTTATTTCTTCAACTACATTGTCAGCTCTTTTAAAATCTTTAATGCCTACTCACCAGCATGAAACACAGAATAATAGAAGCACTTTGGTAAACCAGAGAGAATTCCATGGAAAATGTCATGACTGTAGCTTTACTTCCTTCCTAGTACCTCTCAAAATATTCCTGATATGGGCAAGTAAGAGAGAGTGCTCTGCGCTTTCTTTTTTGAGGCCAGTATGTAAAGAAGCAGTGTGTAACTGAAATAAAATGAATTTGTATCCAGGATTTACCAGATATTACCTGTTGACCATGGTCACGATATTGACCTTTTCTAATTCTTAATTCTGTCATCTGTAAAGCAGAGAAAGTAATATCTGCCTTGTGATAAGTAAATGAAATAACTTATTATGTGTTTTTAATGTATGTTTATATTAAACTTAATGTATGTTACAATAAATATTTAAGTAATATTAATAAGTATCACTTATCAATAAATATTTAAATGATAGCTGTTGTCATATACAAGCAGGTGTGATGAACCTGCTAGTGGTGTTTAAATTTTAACATGAGTCAAGATCACCTTGGGAGCCTGTTCAATTGCACTTTTAGGTTTAGTAAGTCTGAGTTGGGACCTGCAATTCTTCATTTCTGAAAAACTCCTAGGTGCTGCTGATGCTGTAGTCTACAGACCATACTTGAAGTAGCAGGCATTGGAGTATTCAAGATTCCCAGTTTATGTTTTTTTCTTTTAATATATGTTGAATGATTGGTTGGACTATCTTTGGCAGTTATTTTATATTTTCTCAGATATTGTGACTGTGTTTTTAAGGTAGTTAATAATAATATTTTGGACTCATCCAGTGTTTTGTTTTGAAAACTTTTTTTGTTAGAATGCCAGGGACACAATATATATATATTTTTTAGTATTTTGTGGTGCTGGATATCTAAATATTAGGGGCGAACAATTAAGGTAAACATGATGATTTTGTCCACTTTTGTAGCTAAATAGATTTATTGAATTTGAAAGGATGCCAAGAATGGATTTATGGCATATTAAGGCAGATAAAACCAGGAATGGTGGCTCACACATATAAACCCAGCTCTTTGGAAGACTGAGGTGGGAAGATTGCTTGAGCCCAGGAGTTCAAGGCTGCAGTGAGTTATGATTGTGCTGCTGCATTCCAGTGACAGATTGAGATTCCATGTCTTTAAAAAAGAAAATAGGACAGATCAGATCTTTGGCCATTTGCTTTTGCTGTATAATTATCTACAGGCCAATAATTATAAGTATAAGCCTAAATCCCCGATATTAGATGAATATTAGAACATTATATATTATATTTATAATTAGCATTATAACTTATTATTTAGAAAGACTGTAAATCTTTCTAAGTTGAAGTTGAAAGAACGCTATGCTGGGAGTCAGGAGATGTGAATTCTGGGTTTGCCTCCAACAAGGGTTAGCAGGGTGACCTTGGAAAGGTGAGAGTTAATTCACTTTTTCATGCATTCAGGATACTTTATAAAAATAACTTTTCAACAAAGTTCTCAGTCTTCTATGTAAGAAAACATCTTACCTATAACAGTTTTCTAACCTTTAGCATTCTGAGTTTAAATGTAAAACTATTAAATGCTCTGAAAAATTAATGTTGCCTATACTATTTTTAATTGTATTAATTTTGTTAAGATTTTAATAGTAACTTTTGGAGCAGTTTGCTGGCCAGTTGAATATCTAAGATATTTCATTAAATTTGCATATATTTTTATAAAAATATCAAGTAAAACGATTATAAAATTTTTTAAATTATACTTTCAGGTATTTTTCCAATAAGTGGAAAATTATCTATTAAAGTAAAACACAAAACACAGAGGTTTATGAATTCTTTAATATTATACTCTTCAGCCACTATGTGTAACTCTTTAAAATACCATGTTAATTTGTGAGTACTTCCACAACCCCAAATTAAAACATGAAGTAAGAAAATGGACATTTGGTGCTGTTGGGAAATGATACTTGGTTAAGGAGTGCTTTACTGCAATGATGATATTTGAGATGAAGGATTTGACAAGTTAGTTAATTAGTCTTTCCTCTTACCTAAGTGATTTCATCACTCAAATCCTCCAGGAATTCCAAAGCAGCATCTATCTCTGTCTTCAGCAGCAGCACAAACCAACCTTGAGAGCATTCTGACACATGATGCCCTTTTATTTTGAGAACGTAGGGCAAGAGATGTGCAGAAGCATTTTCTTGGGGCTTGAAGATGTTATTCGTGAGAATAGATATTCATGGTTACAGATCACACAGTGTCAGTCTGAGGTCCAGATGCCAATGGCAGAAGATGTTCATGTGTTCTTCAGTAAATTTAATTTGGGTTATTTGTGATAGCCAGGGTCCTCTGGATCACAGGGTTGATGGCAGTCCCCTCTTTCTTAGATATAAGGGTGGTACTGTTTGTGTATCATAGTCTTGGGAGCAGAACTGGGTGTCCTGAGATATCAAAGTTATGAATGTAATCTCAGCCAGATTATTGTAATTAAATATTATTTGGGTACCAGATAAAATGCTGGAAGTTAATAGTGGGTAGGCTGCTATCACAAGCCTCCTTAGCTGATCTATATGTTTAAATGGCAGCCGGATGATTAAAGTAGGTGAACAAACAGCTTTGCAAGCTAAAATTATGCTTTTCATAAGCAAATAACCTCCACTGTGCTGCTTAGCATCTTGGAGTTGTTCTCTTTTTGGTTGTGGCTACTGTTATGATATTCATATAGAGTAATCATCATTGTTTAATGTTTAGGACTTCTGAGAAATGAAGTAAGCATGGAATTTTTGTCTTATTTTTAGTGTAGAAAGTAGGAAAGGAAGTAAATTTTCAGTTTAATGTTGATTCAAAGTCAACAAATAGGTGATGGCTATTTCACATAATTTTCTGGTATTTGCTTTCTATAGCATTGTTTTCAAACCCAAGTTTTAAGTTTCTCAGATGGAGTTGAGGTACTGGGCAACTGGACATCTTTTTCCTGACAGCATTGTCATAAGCTGTGTGATAACTTTTATGTTTAAAACTAATGTAATCAGGCAATACTGTAATGTGCAATAGGAATCCTTATATAATGTGGAAAAATAGTAAAATTATATTTATTTCAGAGGATATTGACATTTATTTTGTACTGTTTTTACTGTATCCACATTAGTAAGATTTTCAGTAAGTGCTTTGAGATCAGTTAGTGCTTAAATGAGTGTTTAGAGATCAGTCCTTTAGAGATTTTTTTCAAGTATTTGTATAAAACCTGCATAGTATATTTTATAAATAGTCTGCTAATATAGATAAGATTCTCATAGCTAAGTAGTAATAATGTCATAAACTAGTAATAAGTTTTATAATTACTTAATATGAATCTGTGGTTAAAAGTATTTATGAGGCATCATATTTTTTCAAACAGTATAATATTTATCTAGGATATGCATATTACCTTTTGTGTTCCCTGTCTAGTTTTCAAGTATATCTTTTTGAACTTTAGTCCCTCTGTGACTGATTTGTACCCCACCTTGTTTCAAAGAAATTCAAGGGGACTGTCTCTTAAATTTTTTTTCTTTTTTTTTTTTTGGTTGTTATATGTTTTGTGTGTGTGTGTGTGTGTGTGTGTGTGTATGTGTGGTTGAGACAGGGTCTTACTCTGTTGCCCAGGCTGGAGTGCAGTGGTGCAATCATGGCTCACTGTAACCTTGAACTCCTGTGCTAAAGCAATATTTCTGTTTTAGTCCCCTGGGTAGCTAGGACTATAGGTGCGCACTACTATGCCTGGCTAATTTTTTAATTTTTTTTTTTTTTTAGAGATGGGGTCTCACGATGTTGCCCAGGCTAATCTTGAACTCCTGACCTCAATTGATCCTCTGGCTTGGCTTCCCAGAGTGCTGGGATTATTTAAAAACCAAGGCACCACATCCAGCCTTGGTTTTTAAAGTCTTGTCAGGAAGTATTTTTATTAAAAATGACACTATATTCCAACCTCAAATGCATTCATACATGGGGAAAATGTAACTTTTTGAATGTGTTGAATTTATAAATGAATAAATTCTTAATTATTATTTATATCTTAAGTGAGCCTTAAATTAGAGACCAATATAACTCACAAACCATTGCTACCTGTGAAACCTCTCTTTTTCAACTTTTGTCTGTTCTCAATTGTATTCTGAATAACATCCATCTTCCATCATTATCATTAATATAATACTGGTAAGAGTAGAATGGAAATTATATTACCCTGAGTGTTTTTAAATTTCCAAAAGATACTCGGAATCTTCTCTCTGTGTTTCAACAGGGCCTTAGCTTCGATTGCTTATTTTACTATAAAGTATGTTTCACATGTTGGCCACAATCTCCTTAAATATACTTTGCTATTTAACCGATGTAAAATCGTACCCTAGAAATACCTGCATCCAAGAATAACTGCTGTAGACCAATGTGTCTCAGGCTTTAATGCAAATACCAATGACTTGGGGATCTTGTTAAAATGTACGTTCTGATTAAGCAGGATTGACATAGGTCTGAGATCCTGCATTTCCAACAAGCTTCCTTGTGATGCCATTCCTCCCGGTCTAGGTACCATACCTTAGGGAGAAAGTATGGGTTACATCTGTATGTCTAGTGCTTCATAATGCATTTGCCAAGTGTTACAGGTCTAACTTGTTCTTAGGCAGTGGTTCTCAAACTTTAGAATGCATGAGAATCACTTGGGAGAATGTTTGCTCTAAATTTACATGGTTGGGCTCCACTCCTCAGAGTCTATTTTGGTGGGGCTTTGGGACCCAAGAATTTGCACTTTTGAAAACTCCTCAGATTTTGATGCATATGGACTAACACCACAATTTGAGAAACTGATACTTTAAAGTTTGGAATTGCTATAGAAATTCATGATCCCTTCTGGAATGACAGCTTGTAAAAGCCAAGCAAGGATACAGTGAAAAGCCCATCTGAATGGAGATTGCTTTGAATGCCAGTGTAGTATTTGGTTAATGGGGAAGCGGTAGTATAATTTTGCATGCTTTTCTTTTCTATCCCATTGCCTCAGGCAATATAATTTACTTGGTGTATAATTTATTGTAATATATCAATGGTGAAGACCATAGCTTATTTACTCCCTAATTAACCCTAGAGGAGTCTTAATTGGATAATTGGTTAGAAATAGTAGATGAGTAGGTATATTAAATGTTGCATGTATGATCAGTATTGATTCCTCTCTTGGATTCTGACCAGGATATTTACTCTCTCTCTTGGAAACATCTATATCTTTAATATTACTTGCTATTATATTTATCAACTGTCACAAGAATAGCCTGTTCTTATAAAATATGGAGTTGATTCTCATGTGCTTTGTTAAAAGGAATTCAGATAACTACTGAGTTGTCATTTTCATTTAAGACAGAAGTTAAATTCTAAAAGTATGTCACTCAAAGTGAATTTTAAAAAATTATGTCTTTTAATAACTTTAAGATTGATTCTTCATCTATTCATGTCTCTGTTTTAAGGATGTGGGTGGTATTTATATAATTCCTAATTGATTCTATGCAAATTATTTTAAACAAAAAGGTTATGTAGAGGTTATAGTTATTAGGTAATCTTGTCAGAAACAGTGCCATTTAGAATACTTGGTTCAGCAAACTGTTTAATGTCAGCCGAAGTGATTTAAAAGCTTTATTTAGGATTAATCCATCATCTGCTTAAATTTATTATCTCATTTATTCACTAATTTGCATATGACTTTGCAATTCAGAAATTTTAAGCAAACAGTGGTATACCCAAAAATGGATTACAGGATAAATTGAATTAAAGCAAACTGAAATGCAGTAAAGGCCCACCCTGGACAGAAGCATGGGATTAGTGAGCTGTGATTGCATCACTCCTTTTCTGCTTCTCAGTCTTTAAGAGCAAGCTTCTTTATGCTGTCCCTGGATGGTTTTGTTCCACTGCTATGATGTGAGGTCTCTCTTGCTCTTGGGGATTTAAAGTTTTGTGTCAGATATAGATTTGAAGATCATCATGACCAAACATAGTTAGTGCTATTTGAGAAGGATATCTGTCACACAAAATGCTTTATGGTCACAGAGATTAGTTCTGTCTGAAGGGAAAGGGGAGAAGACGACAAACATGCCATAATGGGCAATTAACATATAATCCTTTCATGGGTGAGGATACTGGTCCAAATGACCTTTTTTGGAGTGTCTTTCTGTTGTGAGTTTTCTAGTTTATTAATAACCTAAGAACTGTGCCTCATAGTCCGTAATAGTCATACCTCTCAAAACCAAGGTAGTTAGGATTGGGGAGGAAAAAGGCTCTGCTAATTTTTAAAGTAGACCTAAACAATTTACACTACATATTTCTTTGACCTGATTTTTTACTCTTTTGTGTACTACTAAAGCTTTATCCTTCTGTCCTCTCAAACTTTTTTTAAATTTTGCTTTACTTAACTACAAATTTATCAAAATAGTCGTTTACACTTGATGCCAGCCCAGTCTGAAACAGCTGCAATCTATGTTCTGCCACCAGCACTTGACTGTGAGTTCTCATTTGAAGATTATCAGTGATGTACTGATTAAAACTCCAGTTACTTCTCTGGCTTTGTGTTCCTTCTTCTCTGCCATAATTGAATCATTGACCACTTTTTCCTTGAAATTCTCAGTTCATACCGCTTTCTGTTGAGTGCTTCTCACGCCACCTCAATGGTACTTGTTAAATGTCTTCCTTTTCTTCTTTCCTTTAATTTAGTTGCACAAAGCCCCCACCTGAAATATCACCCTCTATATTCATCTCTGCTTATTAAGAGATCCTACCTGTGCTATAAGGCCTGGTTCGTATGCCATCTTACCTTTAAATCTTTGAGCTAAAATGTTTTCTTAGTTCTGTAGTTTTTCATCTAATTTGTACTTGAAGCACTTTTAAGTTGAGTGTTTCCTTGATAGTATGATTGTGTACACATTTCTTACCTACTCTAGCAGATGTTAAGAAAAGGAGGAGAGAGATCATCACTATAGCTTCCCCAATGCTGTGCATTATCAGAAATCTTTAAATATGTTTCTCAATGTACTGTGGTGGGCAGAATAATGATACCCCAAAGATGCCCATGTCTTATTCTTTGAAAACACTGAATATGTTAGGTTACATGGCAAAATCGAATTAAGGTGGAATTAATCTGGATTATGGTAGTGGGCCTGTTGTAATCATAAGCATCACAAAATAAAAGAGGGAGGCAGAAGAGAGTAAAGAGTGATAACCTTGTGAGATCTCAGTTAGCCCTTGCTTTAAAGATGGAAGAAAAGAACCATGAGCAAGGAATGTGGGAAGCCCTTAAAAGCTAGGAAAGGCAAAGAAAAAGCAAGAAAGTAGATTTCTCCCCAGAGCCTCCAGAAGGAATGCAGCTGACACCTTGATTTTGGACGAGAGAGACCCATGTCAGACTTATGACTTACTGAACTGTTAAATATAAATACTCTAAAAATGCAGAGACTGTGGGATAAGTAAAATAGGAAAATAAATAAACTTATTATTCCAAGACTTGCTTAATTCCCTTTAGAGGTAATTTGCTCATTATTACACTGTTTTTTGGTTGTTTTACAAAGGAATTCTATATAATATAGTTATCTCAATGAAGAAGGAGCCCTAATAAGATATATTGATTTATTTTTCTTTCTTTCTTTTTCATGTTGTGAAACAGTCTTGTTCTGTTGCCTAGACTGGAGTGCAGTGGCATGATATGGGTTCACTGCAGCCTCTACCTCCTGGCTCCAGAGCTGGCTGTGAGCCAAGATCTCACCACTGCACACCAGCCTGAGCGACAGAACGAAACTCCATCTAAAAAAAAAATTATTAGCTATTATGAATAGTGCTGTAATAAACATTGGAGTGCAGATACCTCTTTGATATTCTGATGTCCTTTCTTTTGGGTATATACTCAATAGTGGAATTGCTGGATCGTATAATAGCTTAATTTTCAGTTTTTTGAGGAGCCTCCAAACTGTTCTCCATAGTGGTTGTACTAATTTATATTCCCACCAACAGTGTAGGAGAGTTCCCTTTTTTCCGCAGCTGTTACTGCCTGTCTTGGATGGAGGCCATTTTAACTGAGGTGAAAAGATATCTCATTGTAGTTTTGATTTGTATTTCTCTGATGATATTAATTACCTTTATATATACCTGTTTGCCATTTGTATATTATCTTTTGAGAAATGTCTTTTCAGATATTTTCCCATTTTTTAGTAAAATTGTTGGACTTGTCTCCTATAGAGTTGTTTGAGTACCGTGTAGATTCTGGTTATTAATCCCTTGTCAGATGGGTAGTTGCAAATATTTTCTCCCATTCTGTGGGTTGTCTCTTGACTTTGTAGATTGTTTCCTTTGCTGTACAGAAGACTTTTGCCTTGAAGTGATTCCATTTGTCCATGTTTACTTTGGTTGCCTGTTCTTGTGTGGTATTACTCAAGAAATTTTTGCCCAGGCTAATGTCCTTAAAAGTTTCTCCAATATTCTCTTGTAGTAGTTCCATAATTTGAGACCTTCGATGTAAATCTTTAATCCATTTTGATTTGATATTTGTATATGGTGAAAGAAAGGGGCCATTCTCATGCATATGGATTTTCAGTTTTCCTAACATTTATTGAAGAGATTGTCCTTTCCCCAATGTATTTTCTGAGCAACTCTGTCAAAAATGAGTTCATTGTAGATATGTGGGTTTATTTCTGGGTTCTTTATTTTGTTCCACTGGTCTGTGTGTCTGTTTTTATGCTAGTACCTTGCCATTTTGGTTACTATAGCTCTGTCATATAATTCGAAGTCAGTAATGTGATTCCTTCAGTTTTATTATTTTTGCTTAGGGCAACTTTGTCTATTCTGAGTTTCTGTGCTCTCATATAAATTTCAGGATTGTTTTTTCTATTTCTGTGAAGAATGTCATTGGTATTTTGATAAGGATTGCACTGAATCCATAGATTACTTTGTGTAGTATGGACATTTTAACAAGATTGATTCTTTCAATATATGAACATGCAATATCTATCCATTTTTGTATGTATGTGTGCTCTGCAATTTCTTTCAAAAGTGTTTTATAGCTTTCATTGTAGAGATTATTTACTTCTTTGATTAATTCCTAGGTATTTAATTTTATTTGCAACTATTGTAAAGAGGATTACTTTTTAAATTTCTTTTTCAGATTGTTTACTGTTGGGATATAAAAAGGATTTTTGTATGTTGATTTTGTGTGCTACAACTTTATTTGTTTATTAGTTCTAATAGTTTTTTGGTGGAGTCTTCAGTTTCAAATATAAGATTATATCATTTGCAAACAAGGATAATTGGACTATTTCCTTTCCAATTTGATGCTCTTTATATCTTTCTGTTGTCTGACTGCTCTAGCTAGAACTTCCAGTACTTATGTTGAATAACAGTGGTGATAGTGGACCTTCTTGTCATGTTCTAGATCTTAGATGAAAGGCTTTCAGTTTTTCCCAATTCAGTATAATACTAGCTGTTGGTCTGTTGCATATGGCCTTTATTATATTGAGGTATATTCCTTCTATCCCCAGTTTTTGGAGGATTTTTACCATGAAGGTATGTGGAATTTTGTGAAATGCTTTTTCACCATCAGTGGAATGATCATATGGTTTGTGTCTTTATTCTGTTGATAGGATATATCACATTTATTGATTTGCGTATGTTGAATTATCCTTGCATTCCAGGGATAAATCCTACTTGGCCATGATGAACGATCTTTCTAATGTGTTACTGAATTTGGTCTGCTAGTGCTTTGCTGAAGATTTTTGCATAAATATTCATCAATGATACTGGCCTGTAGTTTTCTTTTTTTGGTATGTCTTTGCCCGGTTTTGGTATAAGGGTAATACTGGCCTTATAGAATGAGTTTGTAAGTGTTCCTTCCTCTTTTATTTTTCTAAATAGTTTGATTCAGATTGGTATTATTTCTTCTTTAAATGTTTGGTAGAAATCAGCAGTGAAGCCATCAGGTCCTGGGAAACCTGGGAAACATTTTATTATAGCTTTGGTATTGTTACTTGTTATTGGTCCCTCAGGTTTTTTATTTCCTCCTCATTCACTCTTGGTAGGTTGTATATGTCTAGGAATTTATACATTTCTTCCAGATTTCCTAATTTATTGACGTGTGTTTGCTCATAGTAGCCACTTTTGATCCTTTGAACATCTGCAGCATCAATTGCAATGTCTCCTTTTTCACTTCCAATTTCATTTATTTGTTTTATTTTTCTTTTTTTATTAGTCTGGCTAAATGTTTGTCAATGTGGTTTAACTTTTCAAAAAACCAACTTTTTGTTTCATTGATCTTTTATACTGTTCATGTCAGTTTCATTTATTTCAGCTCTGATCTTTGTTACATCTTTTCTTCTGCTAATTTTGGGTTTGGTTTACTCTTGGTTTTATAATTCTTTAAGATATATTGTTCGGTTGTTTATATGAAGTTTTTCTTCTTCTTTGATGTAAGCACTTATCTATAAACTTTCTTCTTAGTACTGTATTCCATAGGTTTTGCTATGTTATGTCTTTATTATCTTTTTTTATGAGATATTTTTCAATTTCCTTCTTAATTTCCTCATTGTGACCCACTGGTTGTTCAGGAACATACTGTTTAATTTCCATGTATTTATATAGTATCCAGAACTTTTTGTTATTAATTTCTGGCTTCAGTCCATTGTGGTTAGACATTTTATATCTTTTCAGTTCTTTTTAATGTTTTAAGACTTATTTTGTGGCCTAACATATGGTCTATTCTTGAAAATGATCCATGTGCTGAGGAAAGAATGTATATTCTTCAACTGTTACATGAAATGTTCTGTAATATGTAGTAGGTCCATTTGGTCTGTAGTGAGATTAAATTTGATGTTTCTTTGTTGATTTTCTATCTGGAAGATCTGTCTAATGCTGAGAGTGGGGTGTTGAAATCTCCAGCTATTATTCTATTGGTGTTTGTCTTTCTCTTTAGCTCTAATATATTTGCTTTATATATCGGGGTTTTCTAGTGTTGGGTGCATAAATATTTACAGTTGTTATATCCTTTTGAGGAACTGACTGTTTTATCATAATGTTCTTTGTCTCATCTTATAGTTTTGTCTTGGTGCCTATTGTGTCTATTAGAACTATAACTACTGCTCTTTTTCGGTTTCCGTTGGCATGGAATATCTTTTTCCATTCTTGTAATTTTAGGCTATGTATGTCTTTTTAAGTGAAGTGTTTCTTTTGTAGGCAGCAGATCACGGGCTCTTGTTTCTTTATCCATTCAGCCACTTTGTGTCTTTTTTATTGGAGAGTTTAGTTCATTTACATTCAATGTTATTATTGATAATTAAGGACTTACTACTACCTGCTTATTTGTTTTTGTTGTTTTGTGGTCTTCTCATCCCTCTTTCCTTCCTTCCTATCTTCCTTTTAGTTAAGGTGATTTTCTTTGTTGGTATGATTTAATTTCTTGCTTTTTATTTTTTCTGTATCCATTGTATGTTTTCTGATTTGAGGTTACCATGAGACTTGCAAGTAATATAACCCATTATTTTAAGCCATAACAACTTCACACTGTTTATATAAACAAGCAAAAAGAAAACAGATTTAAAACTCTGCATGTTAACTTCATTCCCCAGGTAGCTAACTTTTTGTTGTTTCTATTTATATTTAATTGTACTGCCTGTCTTCAAAAATTGTAGTAGTAGGGCTGGGTGTGGTGGTTCATGCCTGTAATCCTAGCACTTTGGGAGGCTGAGGAGGGTAGATTGCCTGAGTTCAGGAGTTTGAGATAAGCCTGGGCAACATGGTGAAACCCTGTCTCAACTAAAATACAAAAAAAATTAGCTGGGCATGGTGGCACGTGCTTGTAGTAGTCCCAGCTACTCAGGAGGCTGAGACAGGAGAATCCCTTGAACCTGGGAGGTGGAAGTTGCAGTGAGCTGAAATCACACCACTGCACGACAGAGCAAGACTCCATCTCCAAAAAAAAAAAAAAAAAAAAATTGTAGTAGTTACTATTTTCCATTGGCTTATCTTTTAATCTTTCTATTTAATATAAGAGTAGTTTACACACTACAGTTACAGTTTTGTAATATTCTGTTTTCTTCTCTGAAATGAGTCTGTACTTTCAGTTTATTTCTTACCACTCATTAATGTCCTTTTCTTTCTGATTGAAGTACTCCCTTTTATAGAACAGTTCTAGTTTGATGAAGACCTTCAGCTTTTGTTTGTCTGAGAAAGTCTGTATATCTCCCTGATGTTTGAAGGATATTTTCACTGGATATACTATTCCAGGATAAAAGGTTTTTTTTTTCTTTAGCAGTTTAAATGTGTCATGTCACTCTCTCCTGGCCCACAAGGTTTCCACTGAGCTTACTGAGCTCTAGTGTATGTTATTTGTTTTTCTTCTCTTGCTGCTTTTAGGATATTTTCTTTATCTTTAACCTTTGGGAGGTTAACTATTAAATGTTTTGAGGTAGTTGTCTTTGTGTTAAATCTGCTTGGTGTTCTATAACCTTTTTTTACTTGGATTTTGATATCTTTCTCTAAGTTTGTGAAATTCTCTGTTATTATCTCTTTGTATAAACTTTCTAACCTTATCTCTTTCTTTACTTTTTTTGTTTTAGGGCCAATAGCTCTTAGCTTTGCTTTTTTGAGGCTGTTCTGTAGATCTTCTAGGTGTGCTTCATTGTTTTTTTCCTATTGTCTCCTCTGAGTATATATTTTCAAATAGTTTATCTTAAAGATCACTAATTCTTTCTTCTGCTTGATCACTACTATTAAGAGTCTGGTTTGTTTTTCAGTGTGTTAACTGTATTTTTCAACTCCAGAATTTCTGCTTGATTCTTTTTAATTATTTCAATCTCTTTGTCCAATTCATGTGATAGAATTCTGAATTCCTTCCCTGAGTTATCTTGAATTTCTTTTTGTTTCCTCAAAACAGATATTTTGAATTCTCTGTCTGAAAGGAACCATATATCTCTTTCTCCAAGAGTGGTCCCAGGTGTTCTATTTAGTTTGTTTGGTGAGGTCATGCTCTCCTGGATTGTGTTGATGGTTTTAGATATTCTTTGGTGTCAGGACATTGAAGTTAGGTATTTGTTGTAGTCTTCACATTCAGACTTATTTGTAACAGTGTTTTTTGGGAAAGCTTTCCAGGAATTCACAAGGATTTGGGTGTTTTGATGTAAGCACTGCCTACATGAAGGGGCACCCCAAGCCCAGTAATGTTGTGGTTCTTACAGACTCATAGAGATGCCACCTTGGTGGGCTTAGATAAGATCTGGGAGAATTCTGTGGATTAGCAGGTAGAGACAATTGTTCTTTTCCCTTACTTTCTTCAAACCAACAGAGTTCTCTATGTGTTGAGCTGCATGGAGCTATGGGTGGGATGACACAAGTCCCCTTGTGGTTACCACCACTGGGATTGTGCTGGGTCAGACTTGAAGCCAGCATAACATTGTGTCTCACGAAAGGCCCAATATGTGTGGGGATTACAGGCATGAGCCACTGTGCCCTGCCTACCTGTAGCTATCTTTACTGAAATATTCCATCATACCTTTACCATATCACAATAACTTAAATATGGTCTCTTTTCCTTTTGCCAAGTATAGTAATAGCTAACATTTGTGACTGTTTATTATGTTTCCAGCACTATGCCCATTTGTAATATTTTGTGAGGATCAATGGACTGAATATGAGGAAACTGCACAAAGAAATTAAGTAACTTCCATGTATGCTTTGAAGTTCATTCTCTTAAATAAGGAAGCTATATTGCATTCCACTGCATTTTTGCTTTCAGCCCTGTCCTTCAAAACCTTACTGTATTTGTGTAAATTCTGTCTTCCCATGTTCCTGCTCCCCCACCCTCTTTGGTTTTCTGGTCCTTCTCTGTTGCATGAGTTCTGTTTCCCTCCTTTTATTACCTGAGGTCTTTCTGGCACACTGATTCTTGGAGCCTGTTCTTATACTCCTCTTCCCCTCCCACTCTTTGCCCTTTTGTCATTGGCAGCTTCTTGCAGATTCCCTTGCTCTTTTTATTTTCTCTCTCTCAGTCCAACAAAGACTGCTTACAAAGAACCATGACCTTGTCATTTGAACAAAAGATTCCAAAAACCCTGTGTAGGTTGGTTATTGATTTGCTTTACTGAAAAAACTGATTAGCTACTTCATCTGTTGTTGAGTATCTCTATTAATGTCAGGGAGTTACATGTTACAGTATTAGTAGCTCTGACAGTGACTTGTCTTCAAATTAATTTTACTGACTGATTTTATCTTAGAGGTCTTATCTATAGGGTGATCACTGTAATATCTCTAAAAGGAAAGATAAAATCCCTGAAAGTGCATTAGCTTAGAAGCTTATTTTAAACAAGTTTTTTTTTTTTTGTATTTCACATTTTTAAAGTTCTAAATTATGCTTGGAAAAGATATCATTTAGGCCTTTAAGTTTCTTTTGGCTTTGAACTTATTGATTTTTATTTTTTGTTTAGATTTGAAATGTGATAATTGAGAAGAGTATAATCATTCAGCAAAGGAACAGTTAAGTAATATTTGAATGTATTTGTAAACCTAACTACAGATATTTCCAGAAATACGCATATGCTTTGATAAATATTAATCATATGTGATTATATATGTAATATTCACATCTTCCTTAGGAATGCTAGTTAATAAAAAGGTCTTATTGAATTCAAATTGGTTTTACAATCTTCATTTTAATGATTTGTCATTATTACTGTGTGACTTCGGAAAACCAGATCTATTGAACTTATGGGTATGGGAAATACATATATTTAAACTGAAACAAACTTTTAAATTTAATTTAATTTTATTATTATTATTATGATTATTATGAGACAGAGCTTCACGTTATTGCCCAGGCTGGAGTGCAGTTGCATGCAGTCTCAGCTCACTTCAACCTCTGCCTCCTGGGTTTAGACAATTCTCCTGCCTCAGTCTCCTGAGTAGCTGGGATTATAGGTGTGTGTCACCACACCCAGCAACATTTTTTTTTGTATTTTTAGTAAAGATGGGGTTTCACCATATTGGCTAGGCTGGTCTTGAACTCCTGACCTCAAGTGATCCACCTGCTTAGGACTCCCAAAGAACTAGGATTATAGGCGTAAGCCACTGTGCCCCGCCTAAAACAAAACTTTGTGACTTTTTAGCATCACTTTCTCCTCATGAAAGCCAATAATTGGCTCTTTGATATGTTATCTTAGGAAATAAATTTGGTATTATTTTCTTTGATTTCTGTGTGTTTCATCAATTCAAGAAGACTTTCCTTCCAGAATAGTAGTCCTGTAGCTGATATTAGTTGGTGATATGCTGTGGCCTATACTGCAGTAGAGAATTTTTGCTTATAGTCTAAATTCCTTTCAGATACCATTAGGAATTAATTATTTTAATAAGTAGAATAGGTTTTCTAGTTACTAACAAGTTGTAATTGTTTACACCCTCATTTTTTTCAATCTTACAAAAGGCCAAATTGTCATAATAAACAGATCCAGTAGAACTGGAGAAGAAACTAAAAATGAGGTTCTTTATGCAAAATTGCTATCACATATGCATTATGATATGGGGAGTGGCTTAGAGTTCATATATTCTTACAGTTTATATATTCTTGATGAAATCTTTTACAGAACTTAGAAATTCAAATTAAAAACACCCGATTATTTTATGTGGATTAATTTTAAAAGTAATAGCATAGTAGAAAGATGATTGTAATTGTCAAAGATTTTCAAATTAGTGTATACCGTTGATATGACTTAGAACATTTGGGAAAACTACAGGTATATTTTGGCATAGAAAAGAACAAAATGTGGATTATTGCTTTTACTTTTTTTTTTTATTTCAATTTGATATTTATAAATGTTGAGGTTATTTTATATAGAATTAGAAAGCTTAGATTTCTAGAAACATGGATTCTTGGCAGTGGGTTTGAGCATCAGACACACATTGGCTTGAGTCAGATCTTCATCCATTTCAAGCAATCTTACCTTGGGCTACCATTCCCAGCCTCAGTTTTCTTGTTTATCAAATGGGAATAATTATAACAATTATCTCATTGAATTACTGTGAAGATGAAATAAAATGTTTAGCACAGTACCCAGCACTTGTTGAGAGTTAGTAAATGGTAGTTGTTGCTAGTTGAGAGATGACAATGGTTCTAGTGTTGTTTGGTGTGAGGAAATAAAATCAAACCTGAAACATACCTGACATCACTTTCATATCTTTCTCTCTCTGTTGTTAATCTCTGTTTCTAAGACTCTTTTTTTAAGTTTATATATTATAATAATGTCAATTTCCGACCCTAATAACTTCTTAACTGTTTAGAATCACAGTTATATAATCATAAAGTTTTAGAGCTGAAGGGAGTTTTGGGATCATTTAGTCCAAACCTCTTATTTTATAAGTAAGAAAAGTATGTTCAGAGTAGTGAAGTGATTTACCCAGTATAAATTACTTGTGGCAGCTTCCTTCCTCCCTCCCTCCCTTCCTTCCTCTTTCTTTCTTTCCTTTCTTTCCTTCTTAGATGGAGTTTCTATCTTGTCATCTAGGCTAGAGTACAGTGGCATGATCTCAGCTCACTGCAACCTCTGCCTCCTGGGTTCAAGCAATTCTCCTGCCTCAGCTTCCCAGGTAGCTAGGATTACAGGTGTGAACCACCATGCCTGGCTAATTTTTGTATTTTAGTAGAGACAGGATTTCACCACATTGGCCAGGTTTGAGTAGGCAGTTTTTCCCTCACAGTGTAAACAAAGCCAGTGGGAAGTTCAAACAGCCGCTGTAGCCAGACGGCCTCTGAAAGAAAGGCAGCAGCCCCATTCAGGGGCTTATAGATAAAACTCCAATCTCCCTGAGACAGAGCACCTTGGGGAAAGGGCAGCTGTGGGTGCAGCTTCAACAAACTTAAATGCTCCTGCCTGCCAGGTCTAAAGGGAGCAGCAGACCTCCCAGCACAGCATTGGAGCTCTGTTAAGGGACCGACTGCCTCCTCAAGTGGGTCCCTGACCCCCATGTCTCCTAACTGGGGGAATACCTTCCAGCAGGGGTCAGCAGGCACCTCATACAGGAGAGCTCCGACTGGCATCTGGCAGGTACCCTCTAGGAAGAAGCTTCCAGAGGAAGGAACAAGCAGTAATCTTTGCTGTTCTGCAGCCTCCTCTCTGCTTTTTCTCTGAATAATACAGTCATGCAGTTTTCTTTGTTATTAAATGTCAGGATTATTTTTTTACTTATCAATGTAGTTTTCAGTCATTTCTGCCATGTTCTTTTTGGAAAACTCTTGATTGCTTTTTAGTTAAATAGTACCACAGCCAGAGAAAAAGTGGCTAAGATATGATGACATTTGATGAATTGGTATGTCATTTGCCTTTGTGTATTCTGACCAGTTCTGTATTTGAGAGAGATGTTTTCTCCCGGAAGTGCTGGAGAAATTGTTGTAGCATAATTCCTTAGAAAAATTATTTATAGTATTATGTTTGTGAAACACATCTAGATCAGGGATATCTCAGGGAAATGATTGTCCTTTCTGAACCAGTGCCACATATTTTTATTTCTAAACTTATTTTCTTTTCATCCTGGAAATAATGATATTAAAAACATTGTATGACTAGTGATCTGTGTCTCTGATATACAAATGATGCCTATTTTATTATTTCTATATTATAAGCAAGTCCTGTTGTGTTCATTTAGCTAGAAATGAAAAAGAAACCAGCACACCTGCATTTTACATTTAGTTAATTTGTGGTGGTATAGTATTATACCATCTTTTTAAAACTACTGGCAAATTTTAAATGTTCAGTGCACTATTTAGGAATGAGAAGAGTCTGTTCAGGGCAGGGTAATTAGAGCATCTTTGGCTAGAATATCTCTGAGTAAAAATAGCTAATCTCAATGTTGGAGTAAGGTAATTAAGACCTGAAGAAGAATGATAAAAACCTTTTGTTCAGATACCCTTTCTTTATTTAAGTTTAATGCCTTACATTCAAAATAGTGAATGCTAGCCTAGAAATCTCTATAAAATTGAAGTAGCCCATTGAGTACTACTGAGTGAGATAAGTTGTAATACCTATTCTATATCCTTGCAGAAGGGAAATGCATGTTGTCTAGTAACATACAGCTTACAAATTAAGAAACATTCATGTTTCTTCTCTTTTGTCTTATGTCAACTTTATGTATATTTATATATATAATCCCCTAACTCCTTCCTCCTCTTCTTTCTTCCTTCTTCCTCAGGTCATGTACAAGAATTTATTATAGTAACATAAATCAAGATTGTGGGATTTTAATGTTCTTCTTAACTCTCTGACAAACCACTTCTTGCCCTTTTTCCTCCCAAATCTTAAATATAGGCATCTTTCAATGAGTTGTCTCAGCCTCATTTTTTCCCCTGTAATCTATGCTTTGATAATCCTTTATTCCTACAACTACACTTTATGCAATGATTCCTAAACATATATTCCTGGTCAAGTTTCCTGGACTCCAAAATTGTATTTCCAGCTGTTGCCTGGATTTCTAGATTTGAAATATAATGACATCTTAAACGGAATGACTTCAAAGTCAAGGGTCATTTTCTATTTCATCTAATCATCCCACGTCCTCTTCACACAACCTACACTATCCCCGTTCATGACACCATCGGTCGCTTTTGATAACTTGCAGCATTTTACACATCCAGCTAAGGTCATGTCCATTCTACTTATGTAACATCATCAAATTTATCTCCTTCATTCTGTTCGCACTGTCCTTGCTGAGGTTGAGGCCCACATATCCTCTTACCAGGAATATAGCAGCTGCTCTTGATCTTCATGTGCTGCTTCACCAGTCCATTCTACCCACTTTCATAGATGTGCTTTCTTAAGAACTGGACTGATAATGCCATTAGTCTGTTAGAAGATTCCACTGAGCCTTCACTGCCTCTTAATCTAACACCAGAATTTTTAGACTTATTTGCAAGGCCTGTCCCAGTTTAGCTCTTTAGCCTCCTTTTACACACATGTCATATTCTAGAAAAATGGAATGGATTTTTCCCCCTCAGATATGTTACATTATTTTTCATCCATATGTCTTTTCATAATATGTAAGCTTCATGAGGGCAATGATTTTTTTTTAATCTCCTTTGTTTACTGTTTTATCCTTAGCAAGTAAAAGCCATATGTCACACGTAGCAGGTACTCAGTAAATATTTGCTGAATGAATACGTAAGTAAATGGATAGAAGAAAGAATTGGAAGATAGATTTCATGATACTCACCTACTCCTTTCTGACTCTGGGTTCTGATTAAGAGTCCTGTATCTTCTCAGTAAGTTTTCCTTGTTTAAGCCAACTTAAGTGAATTATATTACTTCTAATATAATGACACGTTACTGAGACAGCACAAAAAAGTTAGAAAGGCAACTTGAATACAGGGACTTGGTTTAGAGACCTATTTCATTTTGAAAAGGCTTCTCTCAGTTTTGCTTTGTCATGCACACACTACAAATGAAGAAAACACCACTCAAAGGTCAGGTATCCCACAACCCAAATATGTGCTGAAGGAAGAAACATCCTGCTTTCAAGGGAACAACAATACCATGTTTTTGGTTGCATGTAACAAAGAAATTTAGTAAGAGAGTCATGTATTGATTACAGATGTACAGCTAAATAGACAATTTATCCTAAGATTCTAATTTATACACTAATTAGTCGATTTTTTAAGGCAAACTAATTTGGTTGTCAGGCCACAATAAAGCTATCCCCAATATTTTATATCCACATTCATTTTCTTAATAAATGACCAAAACTTTAGGTAAGAAGCAGAAGCAGAATAATGATGAAAATGTCATAGCAAAACTTTGAAGTTTTAACTACTAGTTATGTTTCTTAAGGAATCAAGACCTGAGATGGAAACTCCAGATTCATAACCTGATAAAGTATTTTCAGGTGTGATTAGATGTTTGAAACACCTTTAAAAGGTGACTACATAGCTTCAGTTATGTGGGAAAATGTGATCAATAAAGGACAGCTTAGATTTTAAGCATGAAGTCAAGAAATAAATGTGTTTATAAGGCACACAAAGCTACAGATTAAGAAGGATGGGACTTGTTTCTTTACCAACCAAACACTTATGCAGAGATATGTTTTCAGTGAAACATAGATGCTGATAAATATGCAATTTTCTTAGGTTATAAAAATCTAAGAGGCTTATATGAGATGCTAAATGTTTATAACTGAATACGCTTACTCTAAGAAGCACAAATTTAGAACACAAGGAACTACAACAAATTAAACCATAGTTTTTGCCTAAGAGAAATTAAAATTTCATGTTTATTTTATGACTACTGGAGCAATTGTAGGCATACTGAGCATGCTTCTTTCATTTGATTTAATTTTCTGACTCTCCATCCGTCTATCCCCTGGTTAAAACCAATTCTCTCCTGGTGGGCTTTTCAATAACATATGATTTCCTTACATATTGTGAAGTGTTTCAGATGATTTTTTTCCCAATCTTTTACTTATTTAAGATTTTACTTGACAAAGTATAATTGTACATATTCATGGGGGTACATAATGATGTTTTGATACACAAAATATATAGCAATCAGTGTAATTAACATATCCATTGTCTCAGCTAGATGATTTTTAATGAATAATAAACTGATCTTATTTCTAACTAGTTAGGAAAAATGAAGAGTTTCTTCATTATATTTATGCACAACACAAGGATGCCTATGAGAATATGAGACCATCTAGGACACAGCATTTCTAGTGAAGTATTCTATTCATGGTGATAGCTAATAACTGACATTATTCTCGGGGACAGTAGTGGTGGTAATATTGCCACGATTATAGCTTCTATTCACTGGCTTCCAGCAAACATGATTCTTGTTATATATTTTCCAATTAACACTTAAATAATATCTGAAATGTATGGTTGCAAGTGTTTTAGCTTGTTTTACTTTACAATAGGAACACAAGGAAGATAAGCATATACATAAGAAATCAGTGCTTAAGACCATACTAAAATTTACATGTTATGCTATCATAATACCATCTTCTAAGTGAAGGGGACAATTGAAATTTATCATCCTGCCATATATGAAAAGACATGTTTCAAAGCATAATGACCACACTGTAAACCTTCACTCTTTCTCTACTTTAAATTTTCACATGGATAGCAGGTCAAACATTCAGAATAGGGTAGCCACGTAAATCAGAATTTTCATTATCTGGATTTAAATGGCTCACCTGGTGAACTGGAGGAGGCTTCTATGGCAAGGGTGTCAAATGTATACTTTTCTGAAGCCCAAAAGGCTGAAGACATTGCTTTAGCCTAGGTCATTCTTCTCTGAAAAGAATAATGATTTACAAAAATTAAAATTAAAAAAAAAATTAGCCAGACTTGGTGATACATGACTGTAGTTTCAGTTACTCCAGAGGCTGAGGTAGGAGTATCACTTGAGCCCAGGAGGTTGAGGCCACAGTGAACCATGATCTCACCACTGCATTACAGCCTAGACAACACAGCAAGACCCTGTCCTCCCAAAAATAAATAAAATTTGAGCCTAGTAGCTCTTGTCATTTGCCACTTTTCTAGACTAAATTATTATTGTAGGCTATACCATATTACTGACATATTTTGACTAATGTAACAAATGCTTTTCCAACCTAACATTTTTCACAGTTTATCTCTTTTGATTTGGAATTTCTCTTAATGTTATACTAACATTATCTAAAATAGTTTTATTTAGATAAAATTTGTTAAAATGGATAGTACAAATAACATCTTTGTTAGGTCTGTAACTAACAGGGAATAAATTTGAAGCACACTTCATGTGAAAAATTGTAAAGCCAAACTAAAAATTGTGATTATTTTGTAATGATACATAGTGTCACGAAAGTCAAAAGAGGAGAGGATCATGAAGTGATCCTTCTAAATGCGCTCACTAAAAAGTGATAGCGCTAAATGCTGCTGTTTTTTTAAAGATGAAGGTTCAGCTATCAGAGCAGAAACCTAAAAGCAAAATCTGAAATTAATAAATCAAGAAATGGCAACATAAGCATATGGCTACTTAGGAATAATTATGATTATTGGATAACAAGTTGCTCTGGAAAGATGACTCATGAGCAACAGTGGAGTCATGGGCTGCTTTGTGATATTGGATTTTGAAATCATGAAGCGTTTGTTATATTTTAAGCCAAAAAAAAACCCAAAAACCAGTCAGGGAGGGATCTTTGTGTTGGTAGGATTCATTTGCCACCTTAAAAAATTTAGGTCAGGAGAGTGGGTTAGAAGCCAGACTTTAAGGAGACAAGAAATGGAGAAGTGGAACAGCAGCCATAGACCAGTTCCTCAAGAAGCTTGACCTGAACGAATTATGTAGCAGTTAAAGACCATGAAATAGAGGAGGGTTATTTGCTGTCAGTTATAACTTACGCAGTTTGCTGACTTTTATAATGAATTAAACATATGTACTTGTTTATACATTGCACTGCCATTTACCATTTGCTAAGTCAATGCGTGAGAACATAGAAGCCAAGATTATAGTCCCAGGAGCCTCAGTTTCACTCTGGAGTTTTCCCTCAGCAAAGATTTGCTTTTCCTGGTCCTTTTATCTTTGCTAACCCTGGTTTCTAGATCAAGATGATTTTCCTTCTTTGTTTTCACACAACATTTTCAATCACACTACACTCTTTTCAGTCACAATTCTTTCTGACAGGTTTTTGATTGGATCCAGATTTGTGGGCTGGGCCCTGGGAATCTAATTCCTATGTCTATTGCAGTACTTCTGAAACATTTTAGTCTCAGACCTGCTTTATATGCTTAAAAATTATCGAGGACCCTAATACTTTTTGTTTATCTGGGTTTTGTCTTTTGATATTTTCCATATTAGAAATCAAACCTGAGAAATTTAAAAAATGTTTTTACCTCATTTAAAATAACATTATTGCCCAGGCACAGTGGCTCATGCCTGTAATCTCAGCACTAATGATCCTCTCTCCTTGGCCTCCCAATGTGCTGGTATTACAGGTATGAGCCACCATGCCTGGCCCTATATTTTTCAATATTAATTTGAAGAACATTCTTGAATCAGTGACTACTACTTGAATATAAAGGACAAATTTAGAGTTATCAAGACTCAATAGATAAGTATAGTAGATAATATTTACTGAGTACACACTGTGTGCCAAGCTCTGTGATGCATACTGTATGCATTTTCTCATTTAATCCTCAAAACAGGTTTATTATAATTACTTTCACTTTATAGATGAGGAGACTGGCTTACCGAGGTTTAATACCTAGTCCTAGTTAAGTGGCAGAGCTGAGACTTCTACCCGTGCATTTGAACACTGATTTAAAAAAAAATTATTGGTGTTGGAAGGCTGATGCAGGAGAATAGCTTAAGCCTGGGAGGCAGAGGTTGCAGTGAGTCAAGATCACATCACTGTACTCCAGCCTTGATGACAGAGCGAGATTCCATTTCTCAAAAAAAAAAAAGAAAAAAGAAATTATTGGTACTTTAAAACATGTGTTACTATAGTCCTTTATTCAAGTGTTAGCACAGAATTCTTTTAAAATGTGAAGCTAATGAATTATTCCAAAGAAAAACTTGTTAGAAAGTCCTTAAAATTTCACTAAGGGGAAAGTCTCAGATACAGACATGAATAATATTTCTCTAAGGTATAAGATTATTATTATTAATGAGATATGTGGATGCAATGTAGCAATCATGTGTTATTAAATATGTTTTTGTGACATTGATGAGTTATACATTCATGGGAAGTATTACATAAGTTTTTTATGGAAAAATTTAAAAGGATTTGTTTAAATCATTGTGAGTACCAAATCTGAGAGAAGCACATCTTTTGCAATATTTTTATATCTCTGAAAATTTTTTCTTAAAAGCCTCCATCTTTAAGAGAGCTAGAAGTTCTCTCTGGAAAGGGACTAGACCAGTAATAAAACATTACAGATCTGGAGTCAACAGATTACATCACTGCAGTTCTAGACGGGTATTGATATAACTTCTAGAAAGAGAAGTTTAAAAAATTCCTGTATCCATATAAGTAGATTCTGTGGAAATGCATTGTAGAAGTCAGAGCTGTACCTGTTAAATTTCTCCCTTCCTTATTATGAGGTGAAAAATCAACTATAGCTATTGAATGTAAGTGCTATTTGATTATAGTAGATATTTCCAGATGTACCCCATTCAACTCAGTAAACCAGCTTCTTTCATGAAGCAATGTGTTCCAGTCCTGAGGAATGTTTGTCTTTAACGTATCATATTGAAATTCCTTCTTTTTATTTTATACCTTTACACTGTTGACATTGTTTTGGAAGTTATTTTGCACTGACATAGTTCTTTATATTTGCACTGACATTGTTCTTTATATATGTTTGTTAGAGTTTAGCAGTTAAGCGTATTACTAAATTTTTTTTTAATGTTAAAGCTAGGTAAGAGTTTTAGGTAAATATTTTGTGGTGTCAATGGATACAGAAGGTTTAAATCATTTGTCTTTGTCTTGAAAGAATTGGATCAGCATTGCTGTCATTACATCAGTGGTTTTCAATCCAGGTTGTATATTAAAATCGCCTGGGGGAAGTTAAAAACAAACAAAAATGCACTTTAAAAAACGAAAACCAAAAAACAATGCCAGGCCCTGAGATTCTGATCAACTGAGATTCTGATTTAACTTGTCTGGGACAAGGTCCAGGCAAGAGCATGTTTCAGTTACTGCCCAGGTGTTTCTGATGTGTGACCAGGGTTGATGGTCACAGGATTGAACTATTTGTATACAGCCTCCCTCTGAATCTGTGGAGGATTGGTTTCAGGACACCCCCAGACACCAACCTCCAGGATGCTCGAGTCTCTTATATTAAATGGTGTGGTATTAGCATGTAACCTACACATATCCTCCTGTATAATTTAAATAATCTCTAGATTGCTTATAATACATAATACATTGTAGATGGTATTTAAATAGTTATTATAGTGTATTTTTATTTGTATTTTTTATTACTCTATTGTTATTTTTTTCCTGAATATTTTAAATCACTGGTTGATTGAATTTGCAGACACAGAACCTGTGGATTGGAGGGCAGATTGTATTCTGTATTCATCTCCTCTTGGGCATTAAATATACTTTAGTATAGCCCTGTTGTACAGTTCAAGGAGATACCATTCACATTGTGTTCTATATGAATGGCTCTTCCTTCAGGGATGAATGGTGCCTTCTGGAGTTGGCAGTTAGTTGTATAAATAAGCTAATGGCTTCAGTGATTGCTGTTAGAGGAATGTGCAATATGGCAGTAGCCTTCTTCAATTCTAATGTACACATGACTCCCTTGATAGCCACTCTATTTAAAATTGGTCAGGTGTATACAACAGCAAGACTAGAAAATGTCTGTGTTTTGCTGTAGCTGAGGATTTAAAAGATCCCAAGAGGAATGATGGGAGCTGTGTAGGAATTAAAATTTGCTTGAGGTCTCAGAACTAAGAGCATGGGGAATGGTCCATGATAGCTTTTTTATCATCGCTGATTATGGAAGTATTATAGAAAGCTTATTGTATTAGTCAGGGTTCCCTAGAGGGACAGAACTAATAGGAGATATATATATCTGTATATCTATCTATATCTATATACACCCTTTTTATTTGTATTTTTGTATAAACTCCCATGTTTAAGTGTGTATGTGTGTGTGTGTGTGTGTATATATGGATATATATATATGTGTGTGTGTGTGAATATTAATTATTAACTTACATGATTACAGGATACCACAATGGGCTGTCTGCAAGCTTGAGGAGCAAGGTGAGACAGTCCAAGTCTAAAAACATAAGAACTTGGAGTCTTATGTTTGAGGACAGGAAGCATCCAGCTCAGGAGAAAGATGTAGGCTGGGAGGCTGGGCCTGTCTCTCCTTTTTATGTTTTTCTGCCTGCTTTATATTTGCTGGCAGCTGCTTAAGTTGTGCCCACCAGATTAAGGGTGGATCTGCCTTCCCCAGCCCAGTAACCCAAATGTTAATCTCTTTTGGCAACACTCTCACAGACAAACCCAGTATCAATACTTTGCATCCTTCAATCCAGTCAAGTTTACACTCAGTATTAATCATCACACTTATCTTTCTAAAATAGAACAGGAAAGTATCCCTGATTGTAACAACAGATGCCTCATTAAATGCCATTACAATAAAGAATACATGGTATGTCTGTTGAGTCTCTTGCTAACATTACAAACATACATTGCTAACTGTGTGTAGGTTCCCTACATTTTAATTAATTATCAGTGATGTAAAAATCACTGGCCTTTAACAACAGTTTGATTTCAAACCCATTAATGAGGCTAAGGCAAAATGTGGCTTTAGTAGTCTCTCAGCCCCATTGTGTATTCTTTATTGTGGCGAATATCAAAACAGCAGTTAATTATAGTAGTACCATTTCTGTTCTTCACTTCATTATCTCTGTCTTGCACTATTATTTTCTGTTGCTGCTGGCTATACAGCATCAGGCCTGGCACCAGTGAAGTGTGAACACAATGCCAGCACTGCATTCAGCACAAGAATAGAAAGGCAGATGGCAGATTGTACTATTTATAGTTGTAGCCAATCTGCCTGAGGTGAGCCCTGCTGAAATGGTTCTTATCAAGAATGTTTTCATTTATTAAAGGGATAGGAAATGAAAGCCAAATAAAACGTCTCCGTCTTCAGGACTCTGAGAGCAAAATTCTTGCTATAGATTTGCAAAGCAATTCCAAGTATTGATTAGACATTTATGAACTGGAAAATTATATATTTAACTCGCTAGTCCCAAAAAGAGACTTTAGGCCAGCAGCAACTTCACAGCAGTACTTGAGGAATTTATTGTTTAGTGAAGTTGTGCTGCCATAGCAACTGATGCAGAGTGAATTTTAATTATTAGGATCACAATAAGCTTATGATGCAAATTAATTATTTAACAACATCAAGCGTATAAACTGAATTGTTTTTACTTTCTCACTAATCATTTCTTGACTGCTATAGAAAGAGCACAAAATAACTGTTTCACATTGGATTCTTTATATTGTTTTAAATAGTTTATTGTTTGAAACTCCAGTAAATATTTTAGAAATTCAATTAGTGTGTTGAGATAAACATTGTGTTCAAAATTAAAATGGCATGTGAATAATCTGGGCTTTCTTATCCTCTAGGCATCTGATTTAAAAAGTGTTTTAGTCTCTGCCAGGCATGGTGGCTCACTCCTGTAATCCCAGCACTTTGGGAGGCCTAGGCAGGCAGATCACAAGGTCAAGAGATTGAGACCATTCTGGCCAATATGGTGAAACCCCGTCTCTACTAAAAATAAAAAAATTAGCTGGGCACACTGGCATACCCCTGTAGTCCCAGCTACTCGGGAGGCTGAGGCAGGAGAATTGCTTGAACCTGGGAGGCAGGAATCTGTCTCAAAATAAAAAATGTGTTTTCATCTCAAGAACATAATGAGTTGATAACTAAAACACCCTTTTGAAGAACCCGGGTGGTTCATATAATCTCAAATGTAGCAGTGAGTTATGATAGTGGCTAATAAAATTTATATTCCACAGAAAAGAAAAACCTTAATTATAGGCTAAAGAAATTAATTTGATTCAGTCATAGTAATTAAAGAAAAATATTTTGAGTGGATGTATTGGAATCTAGAAGATTATTTAGCAATATTCTAAATTATTGCAAAGCATTTGTTCACTTTTAATAATGGTAAAATCTGTCATGTGAGGTTAGTGATTTTATTTAGATAAAATGATTAGTTTATTGGAAATTTTCATTAGATGAAATGATTAGTTGATTGTAAATTTTTTCAGTGGCTTACACTTTGATAGAAGAAGCTTATAGAAAACTAGGTTTTGAAAGGGACAGCTACAATCTAAATTTAGAATTAGATTTCTTGCTTCATAAGCTTTGCATTTCTTTTCAAAATATAGCAAAAAAGCAAAAAGAACTTCTGGTTAGATACAAAGATATGCAGATAGCTCATGTCTTTCCTGATGCCCTTCTAAGTGTGAAGAGGTTTTTAAATAAATAAACTTTCAAGGGCAAAGAAAATTAGAGTGGAAATAAGTAATAAAATTTGGAAGCTAGAAGGCAGGTGGATGAGTGCTAACTCACTTAGACCTGAGGAATCACAATTGTAAGTGTGTAGTGGGGGAAAACTGACCAAAATAACTGATTTATTTACCAACATCTTATACAACTCAGAGATTGGAAACACTAGGGACTTCTGGAAGTAGGAGTTAAAATGAGATTATAAACAGGAGAATTGATTTTGCAAACTCTTTAAGAAGTAGTTGGTTTTCAAGATCCCATCCTCCTCATCATACAGCTAGGCCATCATACAGTAATGCCCCTCCTACTTGGCAGAAGCCTAAAGGCACATATTCTGTAGAGGGTAAAATATGGTTGCCAGGACTGTGAATATTGCAGAACAGTAGAAGGCAGAAGGCAGGTGTGTTAGGCCATTCTTGCATTGCTGTAAAGAAATACCTGAGTCTAGACACAGTGACTCACACCTGTAATCCCAGTGCTTTAGGAAGCCTAGGCAGATGATCATGTGAGCTCAGGAGTTCAAGACTAGCCTAGGTTATATGGTAAAACCCCATCTCTACAAAAATTTGGCTAGGCATGGTGGTATGATCCTATAGTCTCAGCTACTCAGGAGGCATAGGTGGGAGAATCATTTGAGCCTGTGAAGTTGAGACCTTATCTTTAAAAAGAAAAGAAATACCTGAGACTTAGTATTTTATAAAGAAAAGAGTTTTAATTGGATTATAGTTCTGCAGGCTGAAAAGGAAGCATGATGCTGGCATCTGCTCAGCTTCTGGGATAGCCTCAGGAAATCTACAATCATGGCTGAGGTGAAAGGAGAGCAAGCATGTCACATGACCAGAGCAGGAACAAGAGAGAGAGAGAGAGAGAGAGAGAGAGAGAGGTGGGAGATGCCATACATTGAAGAGGATGGTGCTAAATCATTCATGAGAGACCTGCTCCCATGATTCCATCACCTCCCACCAGGCCCCACCTCCAACACTGAGGATTACTTTTCAATATGAGATTTGGGCCGGGCCACACACCCAGACTATATTAACAGGTGAATCCTAGATTGAATCAGAGATGGTACATGAAATTTTTGCCTGTTGAGTGTTGAGACTTTAGTCTTCTGTTAGCCCTGAGCATATACAATTGAAGCAAGAGACTAGAATTTTCTCCGGCAAATTTAAGAAGTCCAAGAAATAAAGGCTTACAAATTCCCTGGGAATTCCCCAAAGATAAAGCTCAGTCACATCATCCTTTAATGACCACAACTGTCAACAACAAGCCTCATCCATTCTATTGGCCTCCCACTTAGCTTTTCAGTGCCCTATTCTTAAATATAAGCATACGGTCAAATGTCATTAGGCATTAGAAGACAGCATTTGACTTTTTTTAAACAGATCAAAACATAAAAAAGCAACTTGGATAACAGACTATGCAGGGAAGAGAAAAAGACATACAAAGAAGCTAAACTAAAATTAATATCTGGGGAGATGATAGGAAATGAAACAAAAGGAAGATTTTAATTGATTTATAATGTTATATTTATGGGATACATGTAAGTATTTTTATATGCATAAAATGTGTAATGATCAAGTCAGGATATTTAGGATATCATCGCCTTGATGATTTATCATTTCTATGTGTTGGTAGCATTTTAAGTCCCCGCTTCTAGTTGTTTTGAAATATATGATATACTGTTGTTAACTGTAGTCACTCTAGTCTAATATCTACTGTTATAACTTATTTCTTCTATCTAGCTGTAGGTTTGTACCCATTCACTGACCTCTCTTCATTTCCACCTCTCACCATCACACTCTTCCCTGCCCCTGGTACCTCATTCTATTCTCAGTTTCTATGAGATCAAGTTTTGTAGCTCTTACATCTGAGTGAGAACAGAGGGTATTTATCTTTCTCTACCTGGGTTATTTCGCATACCATAATGACCTCCTGTTATAATCACATTGGTACAAATGACAAGATTTACATCTTCTTCATGGTCGGGTAGTATTCCATTGCATATATGTACCACATTTTCTTTATTCATTCATCCGTCAGTGGACAGTTAGGTTGATTCCATATCTTTGCTATTGTGAACAGTTCTATGATAACATGCGAGTACAGGTATATTTTTGATATACTGATTTCTTTTCCTTTGGACAGATACCCAGAAGTTGAATTGCTGGATCATATGGTAGTTCTATTGTTGTTTTTTTTTTTTAAATTCTTGAGTTCCTTGAATATTCTGGATATTAATCCCTTGTTAAATGAATAGTTTGCAAATGTTTTCTCCCATTCAAGAAGCTGTCTCTTCACTGTGTTGATTGTTTCCTTTACTATGCAGAAGCTTATTAGTTTTATATAGTCCCGTTTGTTTATTTTTGTTTTAGTTTTTGTAATTTTAAGGTCTCAGCTATAAAATCTTTGCCTAGACCAATGTTCTGAAATAATTTGCCTATGTTGTCTCCTATTAGTTTCATAGTTTTGGGTCCTACTTTTAAGTCTTTAATCCATCTTGAATTGTTTCTTGTATGTGATGAGAGATAATGGTCCAGTTTCATTCTTTGGCATATGGGTATCCAGTTTTCCCAGCATCATTTATTGAAGAATGTGTCCTTTTCCCAGCGTATGTTCTTGGTGCCTTGGTCAAAAATCAGTTGGTTTTAAATAGGTGGATTTATTTCCCTTTTTTTGTTGTTCCATTGGTCTTTTTGACTGTTGTTACTATAGTCTTGTAATATAATGTGATGTCAGGTAGTGTGATGCCTTCAGCTTTGTTCTTTTGCTCAGGATTGTTTTGGCCATTCTGGCTCTTTTTTGGTTCCATACAAATTTTAGGATTGTTTTTACTAATTATGTGAAAATGATATTGTATTTTTACAGGGATTGAATTAAATTTTAGATTGCTTTGAGCAGTATGATCATTTTAACAATAATAATTCTTCTGATCCATGAGCATGGGTTGTCTTTCCATTTGTTTATACCCTTTTCAATATTTTCCATCAACGTTTTATAGCTTTTTTTGGTGGTGGGGGGGTAGAGATTTTTCACTTCCTTAGTCAAATGTGTTCCTAAGTATTTTATTTTACTTTTTAGCTATTGTAAATTGGATTGTCTTGATTCCTTTTTGGCTATTTCATTATTGGTATCTAGAAATGCTTCATATTTTTGTTTGTTGATTTTGTATCCTGAAACTTTATTGAATTTGCTTATCAACCCAAGATATTTTTTTGGTGGACTCTTAGTTTTTCTAAATATAAGGTTATGTCATCTGCAGAGAGAGACAATTTGACTTCCTTACTTTCAATTTGTATGCCTTTTATTTATCTCTTGACTGATTGCTGTGGCTGGGACTTCCAATACTATGTTGAATAGGAGTGGTGAAACAGCATTCTTACCTTGTTTCATTCTGTAAAGGAAAGGCTTTCAACTTTTTTCTTTCAGTATGATGTTAGCTATGGGTTTTTCATGTATGGTCATTATTATTTAAAGATATATTCATTATATGCCTAGTTTCTTGACAGTTTTTATCATGAAAGGATGTTGAATTTTGTCATGTTTTTTCTGTATCAATTGAAATGATCATATGGTTTTTGTCTATCATTCTAATGATATGATGTATCACATGGATTGATTTGCATATGTTAAATAATCTTTGGATCCCTGGTATAAACTCCACTTGATCATGGAGTTTATATATTATTTGGTTTTCATTTCCCTGTTGATTAGTGATGTTGAACTTTCTTTTCATATACCCATTGGTCATTTGTATCTCTTCTTTTTTTTTTTTTTTTTTTTTTTTGAGACGGAGTTTCGTTACCCAGGCTGGAGTGCAATGGCACGATCTCGGCTCACCGCAACCTCCGCCCCCTGGGTTCAGGCAATTCTCCTGCCTCAGCCTCCTGAGTAGCAGGGATTACAGGCACACGCCACTGTGCCCAGCTAATTTTTTGTAATTTTAAGTAGAGACGGGGTTTCACCATGTTGACCAGGTTGGTCTCGATCTGCCGACCTCGTGATCCACCCGCCTCGGCCTCCCAAAGTGCTGGGATTACAGGCTTGAGCCACCGCGCCCGGCTGTATCTCTTCTTTTGAGTATTGTCTATTCATATCCTTTGCCCATGTTTTAATGGGATTATTTGTTTTTTTTATTGTCAATTGAGTTTCTTGCATATTCTAGATATTAGTCCCTTGTTGGATGAATAGTTTGCAAATATTGTCTGGTATGCTGTCAAATTTGGTTTGTTAGTAGTATGTTGAAGATTTTATGTCTGTGTTCTTCAAAGATATTGGCCTGTCATTTTCTTTTTTTTGTTACATCCTTGTCTGGTTTCAGTATCATAGTGATGCTAGTTTCATGAGGTGAGTTAGAGAAAATTTGCTTCTATTCAATTTCTTGGAATAGTTTGAGGAGGATTGGTATTAGTTCTTCTTTATTTGTTCAGTAGAACTCAGCAGTGAATCTCTCCAGGCCTGGCTTTTCTTTGTTGGAAGACATTTTAATTACTGCTTTAAGTTCTTGTTACTGGTCTTTTCAGGTTTTCTATTTCTTTCCTGATTCAATCTTGGTAGGTTGTATTTTTCTAGGAATTTATCCATTTCCTCTTAACTTTTCCAATTTCTTAGTGTATAGGTACTTATAATAGTCTGTTGTGATCTTTTGTAGTTTTGTGGTATCAATTGTAGTGTCTCCTTTTTCATTTTTTAAAAATTTGGGTTATATCTCTTCATTTTCTAGTTAGTCTAGCTAGTGGTTTATCAATTTTATCTTTTTAACCAATTTTTCATTTCATGATGCTTTGCATTGCTTTTTTAGTCTTTATGAGCTCTGCTCTTGTCTTTATTATTTCTTCCTTTCTGCTAATTTGAGGTTTGGTTTGTTCTTGCTCTTCTAGTTTCTTGAGGTATGTTGTCAGATTGTTTATTTAGAATCTTTTTACTTTTTAAATGTAGGCATTTATTGTTACATATGTCCCTCTTAGTACTGCTTTTGCTGTATCCCACATGTCGTGGCATGTTGTTTTTTCATTTTCATTTATTTCAACAAATTTTTTTATTTCCATATACTGTTTTTATTGACCCAGTGTTCAGGAGCATGTTGTTTAATATCCCTGAATCTATACTTTTCAGCATTCCTTTTGGTATCAACTTCTAGTTCTATTTCATTCTGGTCTGAGAAAATATAAGATTTCTATTTTTCCAAATTTACCAAAACTTGTTTTGTGCCCTAACCTATAGCCTATCATGGATAATGTTCTATGTGCTGATGAGAATAATGTCTGTTCTGCAGTTATTGGATAACAATCTCTGTAAATGTCTGTTAGGTCCATTAGGTCTAAAGTCCAGTTTAAATCCAATGTTTCTTTACTGATTTTCTGTCTAGATTATTTATCTAATGCTGAGAGTGGGGCATTGAAGTCTCCTACTGTTGTATTGGAGTCTGTGTCTCCTTATATCTAGTAATATTTTATTTATGAATGTGGGTGCTCTAATGTTAGGTGCATTTATTAATATATTCAGAACGATTATATCCTCTTACCCTCTTCCTGGAATACTTACTTTATCATTATATAATGATATTACTAGTCTCCATTTTTTTCACTTTGTTTGACCAAGGTCTGTTTTATCTGATGTAAGCACAGCCTCCTGCTTTCTTTCAGTTTCTTTTCGAGTAGACTATCTTTTTCCATTCCCTTTACTTTCATTCTATATGTGTCTTTACAGGTAAAGTACATTTCTTGTAGACAGCATATAGTTGGGTCATGTTTTTTAAAAATTTATTCAGTGAGTCCGTATCTATTAAGTGAAGAGTTTAATTCATTTGTATTCTAGGTGGTTATTAATATATAACATTTTATTCCTGTCATACAGTTAATTGTTTTTAGTTGTTTTGTATGTTTTTTGCTCCTTCTTTTTTGTTTGTCATTGTAGATTGGTGGTTTTCTGTAGTTGTACCTTTCTCTTCCTCATTTGTGCTTAAGTTTTATACTTTTGTGTATTTTCATCATGGTAGATGGTTGTCAGTTTGCTTCCAGTTTTAGGACTTCCTTGAGTATCTTGTAGGGCTTGTCTGGTGGTGATGAATTCCCTCAGCTTTTGTTTGTCTGGGAAAGACTATTTTTCTCTTCATTTTCCTTCACTTTTTAAGGATAATTTTGTTTGATATGGTATCCCTGACCGGCCTTTTTTTTTCTTTCTTACTTTCTTTCACTCTTTCAGCACTTGGAATACATCATCCCTTTTTCTCCTGGCCAGTAAGGTTTCTGCAGAGAAATTCATTGTTAGTTTGATGGGTTTTTTTTTAAATTATAGGTGACTAAACACTTTTCTCTTTTTGTTTTTTTAGAAGTATTTCTTTGTCTTTGACTTTAGACAATTTGACTACAATGTGCTGTGGAGACTATTTTGTCTTGTATCTGTCTAGGGATCTGAGAGTCTCCTGTATCTGGATGTTGAAATATCTTGCCAGAGTTGGGAAGTTTTTAATCATCTGTTATTTCATTAAATAGGTTTTTCTAACCTTTTCATTCTCTCTTTGCCAACTGGGACTCTGGTAATTCAGATATTCGGTCATTTTATTATGTCTAATATATCACAAATGCTACACTCATATTTTTCCCTTTTTTTTTGTGTGTGTTGTTTCAAAAGACCTTTCTTCTGCTTGATCTACTCTGTTGTTGAAGCTATCAAATGTATTTTATATTTCATTCAGTGAATGCTTCTGTTCCAGAACTTCTCTTTGGTTCTTTTTTAATGATATCTATCTCTGGTATATTTCTCATTCATGTCCTGATTTTTTTGTTTGTTTTTTGTTTTGAGAAGTCTCTTATATCTCACTGAGCTTCTTTAGAATTGATGATTTAATTTTCTGGGATTTCATGAATTTCTTGTTGATTGGGATGTTTCTGGGGAATTATTGTGTTTCTTTGGAGGTATTATATTTCCTTGCTTTTCCATTTTCCTATGTTATTACAATAATATCTATACATCTCATACAATAGTTGCTTCATTCTGTTCCCTGAATTTCTGGCTTTTATAGAGGAGGACTTTTCCTGAAAATGTATCTATGGTGTTGGTTGGTTAGGACACTTTGGCTTTGATTCTGCATGCTAGTAGTATAGCCTTTGTATGATTTCTTCAAATGTAAACAACATCAATGGTATTTCTGTGATTTCTTTAGTAGCTTAGGGTGTAGTTATTAGTGGAGGTTGTGCTGAAGTTTTTATGGGGATTTGGATGCCAAATAGTTCCGTACTAGGGCCTTAGGGGTGGCAGTGGTAGGTTTGGTGTGCCTGTTACTGGGCCTCAGTGTTGCATACACTGGCCCTGATATTGGCACGTCTAAGTAGCCCAATACTTGGGCCTCCAGGTGGCTTACCCAGGTGTTGAAACAACATTGGTTCAGACAAGTGAGCAGGTTCTTGGGCCCCTGGGCAGCTAGTGTGGCATAGGCAAGGCAGTGACAATGGCGGGACAAACCTATGGCTCCTAAGCAGTATGCTTTTGTATTGGGTTTCTACAATGGGATGAATAGGCAAGTCTCCAAGCCTGCAGGCAGCATGTGGTTGTAGATGTTAGCTGTGGTGATATTAGTTAGATGGATAGGTCCACCCTCAGGCCCCTGGGAGTAGTAGTGCTCAGATGCCACAGATGCCAACAATGGCGGACTGAGCTGAGTACTCCCTGACCCCCAGACTCTGTGCTCTGGCATGGAGAAGGCAAAGCTTGGCCAGGTGGGCTTGTCCTCAGGCCCTCTGATGGTGAGTGCAGGTACCAGCCATGTTACGCAGGAGTGGGTCAATCCACATGCTCTTGGCAGAATGCTCAGCTGGCAAGAGGCAGCAGTTGTGCTGCTGCCTTGCTACTGGGGAGGGTGGGACTGCCTTCAGTGGCAGACAGCATAGGCCTCCCAGGCGGCAAGGCAGCAGCACAACAGCCTTGCCACTGGGTGTACTACTTGCACGTCAGCCCCAGTGGTGCTTGTGCCTCAGCCTCCTGTGCAGTAGCCTGTAAGCCACACAGGCAGCTGACATAATACGTTTAAGGTTCAGCCCTGGCACTGCCAGGTTCCAGGACAGTACACAGTCTGTGGTAGACAGTACTCAAAAATGGTACCTTGCTATAGCTGTTTAGATCTCAGGGAGTGTGTGGGACCCAGCAGGAGCTCCTTCCCTCCTTGGAGCAGTGTTGTTGCACAATATCAAGGCATCATCCTCTGTTAGTTTCAGAGCCTGTGAGGATGGAGGGGCTCTCCAAAAGTTAGGATTGCAGGAGTTCACGGTGTTAATGTGGACTGCTGAGAATCTTTCAATTACCCTTTCCCCACATTGGGGAGTATCTCTCAGCCCCCAGCTGATCCCAGGCAAGCAATTCTCCTGCCTCAGCCTCCCAAGTAGCTGGGATTATTCCCTAACCTGAGGAAATAACTAGAAATCATTTATTTACCTGGAAGAGAAAGGAGGATTTCTCTAAAGCATTATTCTCAAAGTTTAGGTTTGATTAGAATCACCTGGAGAGCTTGTTCAAGCATAGCGTACTGGGCCAGAGCCTCAGACTTTCTTATTCAATACAGCTGGGATAGAGCCTGAGAGTCTGCGTTTCTAACGAGTTGCCTAATGATGCTTGTCAGGAGCTCAGCTGAGCTGGTCCAGAGAGAAGGTCCTGAGCTGCAAGTGTCTGAGTAGTGTATTGAAGCAAAAAGCCAAAAATAAAGATTTAAGCCTTTAGTCAGGTACTGCTATGGTATAAGCAAGAGGATAAAACTGGAGGGAGTGCTGATTCTCCTGTTCTGTTTTTTCCTAAGGAAGGGCATGCCTGTTGATGATCAGTCAGCACAGTTGTGAAAGGTTTGTCTCAATGTCGAGGGAGGCTGAGGAGTGGAAAAGTACTGAATATTGGGGAAAATGTATTTACTCCAATTCCTCCACCCCTGATCCTAGGAAGTCTCATTAGAGGAACCTGATCAAGACCTCTGCCCAAGGTCTCGGAAAAAGAGACATAGGAATGAAGGTACCCAGTCTAGGAATGTAAATATGTAAAAGAGCATGACTGAGTAGGGAGCCTGAGTCCTTGACTACAACTCCTTCCCGTGACTACACTGCATTTGCTATGCACCAAGTCTGATATGGGGAAGACAGCTTTCCCCATAAGGCCTGCCAGGTAAAGCCATTTTAATTGCCTATGGTCGTGCCTGAAATATCACATGTAGATTTTAACCAAGATCTAGACCCTCATGGGTGGTCTTGTTGGCTAGGCAACTGCACTTTGAGACCCATGGTTTAAATTCTAAAGTGTAGCTGTGTTCTTTTGTCTGCCGCTCACCAGTTCATTCCTCTTAAGGATATTAATCAAACTGTATTGTCACATTTTCAAGACAATCTTCATACATCACTTTAAGGTAGCTTTCAATTATCTGTTGACTAGTAACTATTAGCCTTATTGGTTAAGTACTACTATAAAATGTTGGTAATATGATTAGATGCTAAACCTTACTGTACTTGAAATTATATGTAAATTTACATGGTTGAAAACTCAATTTGTTTGGATCACAATTTGTAAAGCCATAGTCTTCTGCCTTCAGTATGGCTTTTTGTATTGTAGCAAATAGAATAGTAGTGACAAGTTCAGGTTCTGAAGCCAGAGTTCCTGGATTTTTTTTTTTTTTTTTTTTTTTTAATTTTTTAAAGTTTTAGTTTTTGTGGGTACATAGTAGGCATATATAGTTATGGAGTACGTGAGATGTTTTGATACAGGCATGCAATATGTAATAATTACATAATGGAGAATGTGATATGCATCCCCTCAAGCATTTATTCTTTGTGTTACAAACAATCCATTTATACTATTTTTTTTAATGTACAATTAAATTATTATTGACTCTCATCACCCTGTGGTTCTATCAATTACTAGGTCTTATTCATTCTTTCTTTTTTTTTTATTTTTGGACCCATTAACCATCCCCACCTTCCCCCAACCCACCCCATACCCTTCTCTGCCTTTGGTAACCATCCTACTCTGTCCCCATTAACCATCCCCACCTTCCCCCAACCCACCCCATACCCTTTTCTGCCTTTGGTAACCATCCTATTCTGTCAGTGAGCTCAATTATTTTGACTTTTAGATCCCACAAATAAGTGAAAACATGCAACATCTGTCTTTCTGTGCCTGGCTTATTCCATTTAACATAATGATCTCCAGTTCCATCAATGTTGTTGCAAATGACAGTATCTCATTCTCTTTATGGCTGAATAGTACTCCATTGTGGATATGTACCGATTTTCTTTATCCATTCATTTGTTGATGGACACTTAGGTTTCTTCCAAATCTTGGCTATTGTGAAAAATGCTGCAACAAACGTGCAAGTGTAGATAGGTCTTCGAAGTAACTGATTTCCTTTTTTTAGGGTGTATACCCAGCAGTGGAGTTGCTAGATCATATGGCAGCTCAGTTTTTCATTTTTTTTTTTTTTTTTTTTTTTTTTTTGAGGAACCTCCAAACTTTCCTCCATAGTGATTATACTAATTTACGTTCTCGGCAACAGTGTAGGAAGTCTCCCTTTTCTTCATGTCCATGCTAGTATTTGTTACTGCCTGACTTTTGGATATAAGCCATTTTAACTGGGGTGAAATGATATCTTATTGCAGTTTTGATTTGCATTTCTCTGATAAATAGTGATGTTGAACACCTTTTCATATGCCTGTTTACCATTGGTATATCTTCTTTTGAGAAATATCTATTCAGATATTTTGCCCATGTTTTGATTGGATTATTAGATTTTTTTTCCTATAGAGTTGTTTGAGCTCCTTATATATTAGGGTTATTAAACTCAGGTGGGCAGTTTGCAAATATTTTCTCCCATTCTGTGGGTTTTCTCTTTGCTTTGTTGATTTGCTTTACTGTGCAGACACTTTTTAACTTGACGTGATCTCATTTGTCCATTTTTGCTTTGGTTGCCTGTGTTTGTTGGGGTATTACTCAAGAAATTTTGGCCCACACCAATGTTCTTGAGAATTATCCCAGTGTTTTCTTGTAGTAGTTTCATAGTCTGAGGTCTTAGATTTAAGATTTCCTGGGTTTCTGGCGTAGTTCTGGCTCTTTCTAGCTCTTTAAGTTTAGACAAATTACTTAACTGTGCTGTGTCTCATTTCTCTTATCTGTAAAATGAGAATAATATCTTCTATCTCATAGGGTTGTTGTGTGGATTATGACATGTGAAGTATAAAGAACAGCATCTAGTTCATGGTGAACATTTGATCCATATTAACAGCTATTACTAAAATTATCACCACATCACCATTAATATATTTTCCCACTGGGAGGACTTCTATGTTGCCTTATGTATTTTATTTACCAAAAAATAAATCATTTGCTATAAACAGGTACTTTTCTTGTTTGTTTTTGGTTTTTCAAACAGCTGATAGTTGTGCTTAGGTGATTGCTGAATAATATTTAGCCTTTTGCAGTATCATTAATTACTAGGACCCCAAATTGTATTCTGTAATTACAAGATAAAGAATGAAATCTAATATCTAAGTATATTTGCTCTTTAGATCTGAAAGCAAGTGGTAGTGTTTTTATTTTATTTTTTAGATTCATACCTGACTCTTAGCAGATACTCTATACATATTATATTGATCAATGAAATATATTTCTTGCAACTGAATTGATTATTCTATTCTCAACAATTGAGTTTTTTTATAAATATATTTCTAGTTGTGGAAAGTACATAGAATGTATAAACAATTACTATCCAGCTCCAGAACATTTTCATCATCTCAAATGGAGGCCTCATGCAACAAATTTATTTTTAAGTGACAGACCTGTTTCTCATGCAAAGATTTGTGAAAGGTGAATGGTATTTGGATCTGCTAAACAGTGTGACAATTTTCCTAGTAGTCAAGTTTAAAAAAAAAAACTTCAATATGATTTCATAGATAGAAACTTAGTGAAATACATAGTTACTTATAATTAGCATACGAGAAGCAGTTAATTCAATATAGGACATGGATATTTGAGGAAATAACTTCCTGTTGACTACCTTGATTTGATCAAATTGGCCAGAAAGGTGAGAGGTGTTTTTTAGATTACTCTGCTTTCAGGATGTGTTCCATGTTATATCTTTATTTTCTTTTCTCTCAGTCCACTAATTTTGAAGATAAAATGTTTTCTTCTTTTAATTTTGATATATTGCATTATAAGGCACATGGTTAAAGGATTTATATTCTCCTAAGTACTCCTTCTTAACAGAAATATAATTCTTTTGGATTAATTTGATGCAACAGTTTTTGTTATTGTTTTTGGTGACCTTGGAGAGTAGTGGCACCATCTTGGCTCACTGCAACCTCCACCCTCCCGAGTTCAAGGGATTCTCCTGCCTCAGCCTCCCAAGTAGCTGAGACTGCAGACATGAGCCACCACGCCCAGATAATTTTTTGTATTCTTAGTAGAAACAGGGTTTCACCAGGTTGGCCAGGCTGGTCTCAAACTCTAGACCTCAAGTAATCCGCCCACCTTGACTTCCCAAAGTGTTGGGATTACAGGCATGAGACTCTGTGCCTGGCTACATTTTCTTTTTTTGAATACAATAGTCTTTTGCTTTGTCAGTATGGTATCCATATGGGTGAGTCTTTGTACCATTGCCTGAGATACTATTTTGGAGTGATGAAAAGGGATACATTTAGAATAATGATATTTGTGCTTTAATGGATAAAGCTTTTGGGACTCTTAATAAAGTTCTGTAAGCATTCAGATTCAAAAGGTAGAGGCAGTGACTAGAGTATCTTGAAATTTCTAAATTAATATTTTGTGTTCTCATGAGATGTGATGTTTGCCACCTCTTTTCTCCATTCCACACACATCAGAATTAAAGTAAACAAAATCAAGCAAAATTTCCATGACAGCCTCATTTAATAAGGATTTCTAGATTTTTCAAGAACCTACTCGATCATTTTTTTTTTAATGAAAATCTCTTCATATCTCAGAATTTCATGGTGGTCTAAGAGGCCTGAAGCTCTGCAGGTCTAGACTGTGAGGATCTCTGAGAACTGCATGGTCTGCAGATTGTAGGTACTCAATCAGCAATGATTGCTGGTGGCATAAACTGCACAAACTACATACTAGCCAGCAAGCAAAGATGCCCAATTAGTTGGTGAATGATTTGCCAGGGGAAGTCTATTTTCAGCCTGGGTAGTTACTATTAAGAGAAGATCCTAGAAACTGCACTTTTTGCCTGCTAGGTGTTCAGGATACTTTTGAAAGAACTGAAGTGTTAAGTTCAGTGGAGACATTTTGGATCCTCTATATTTACAGATTTACAGCCCTTCGTTTCCCAATTTCTTCAACCTTTTTCCTTCTTGAAAGTCATGCTTTTATAGTTTCAGGAAAATAATTAGTCTTATAAAACATTCAGGTCCTAAAAGATTAAGAGTTCCAAAGGAAAATATATATTAATTTTAGTTATGAAAAATGTACTGACAACAGGCTGTCAGCCTTCAGAACTGATTCTTAGTTTTTCATTAAAATAGAAAACTCAAAATTTCCCATGAGTTTCATAGAAAAATTGAGCATATTTAAAAATTAAGTTAAATATGTATAATTTTATAAGAATCAAAAAGGTTTGAGCTTGAAATTTTTTTTGTTCAGTTTTATTCTGTTATGGAACAGTGCCTGCACATACTAAGCTCTTGGTGAAGATTTGTGAATTAATGTGATAACATCGTGTTATTGGAATTCATCACTGCTGAATTAATGTAGATTTGTGTTTTCTGTAGGAAATCTTGTCCTTATTTCACCCCAGGTTTTTACCATAACATTTCTTTCCTCTTTGCAAATATCTTTTGATTGGTGTTTTAATTATTGATAAGATCTGAACTTGGAACATTTAATCAAAATGAATAATTCCAGTGTCAGGGAAAAAAAACCAAAACCTCTGGAAATTTAATGTATGGCTTTTCTTAAGTGTATATATCACTTTTTCTCCAAAGGACAGTTTGAAATTGAAACACTCCAAAGTAAAAACAATTTTAACTTTCTGCAACTGTGTATATGTGTGTTTGTGTGTGTGAAAAAAAGTAAAAAAAGAAGGGAGGGTTGAGGGAGGGTTGAGAGGGAGAAAAGGAGATAAATGTGCTTTCTATGAAATTTTGACCCATTTCCAGGATAACTTAGAATGAATAAATTAAGTAAAAAGAAAAATAAGCATTCTTCTTTTATGTGAGAAAAATTATGCTTTTTTCCTTTTAAAAATGGATTTTTATGACAACAAGCAATAATAGGGTTAACAGATACATAGTAATTTTTAGATCAGGCTGATAACTGCTTTTAGATAATAGCATAAGTCACTGATTAGAAGGAAAAACCCGACTTTGGAAAAAATCTTTTGGAAATCATATTTTGTGTATTATGTTAAAATAAAAAATTTTCATAGTCACTTTGAGGAAATTTTCTAACATTAGGAAGAGAAATATTGTTAATTATTTTCAGCAGAAGGTAGAATAACTGCATTATTGGCAAATATGATTTTACTTTAGACCTTTTAAATAGTTAATTTTTTCCTTTTAATAGAGAAAAGGACACATTTATATATTAGATGTTTTACATTTTAAACAGTTTTCTTTGGGAAAAGAATAGGGTGAAAACTGATGTAAACTCGGATTTTTAAAGTTGTAGAGCATAAATAGATACTGACATTGTTTCTTCTACATCTGAAGTTGGTTCTTTGACTCATAAGGTCAGCAATCTCATTTATAGGTCTCTTTCGTAGTCAGTTGCCTTTTCTGTCTCCCACACACCAAACTATAAAGATAATTTCATAAACATCCTTTTAGTTGAGCTTTTGAATTTTGCTAATTTTTCTGACTTAGATGAAGTTTCAATTAAAAATAGACTATAAACTTTTAAGTGGGTGGCAGTTGAATGAGTTGCTATGACAGTTCATATTATGAGGTTGAACCAAATGCAAAGTAGCTTAACAGAATTTGAGAAACATAGAGCTATATCAGTACTAATGATTACTCTCCTTTAACCTATGCTGGGTATAAAAAAGGAACATGCCTTTCTCTCAGGGTGCAAAAGTTTTACTGGAAAAATTAGTGGAGCCTGTAACCCTTATCCTACTGCTACCAAGAACCTATTTTCATAAGGAACACTCCTCTTTCCCACTCGTGGATATTGGTAAAAGGTCCTGGGAATGTCAAGTCTGGTTTATATTTTCCCAGTCCTCTACAATAATCTCAGAAGAGGTGCTTAATAAATGCTATATACCATTATCCAATTCTTGCTCCTCCTATACCTGAAAGAAAATTTAGATTTTTTTCTTCCTTTATGGAATTTTCTTTTTCTGATTTTGCAATTTTCTGGACTCCGTATTTCTTTTTTTTTCTTTTTCTTTTTATTTTGAGACAGAGTTTCACCCTTGTTGCCCAGGCTGGATTGCAATGGTGCAATCTTGGCTGACTGCAACTTCTGCCTCCAGGGTTTAAGTGTTTCTC